TGCAATCGCGCATTCCATAAACCCGCCATAACCGTCGTCCACATTGCTCTGCACTCGTTCTTGTGAACATTAAAAGCATTCCTTTTCTATAACTTGTGCGAGGCATAAATCTATATGAAATATTCATCATAACTATTATACGGATATTGACGAGTATCTAGAAACAGGAATTGAATGGACTAATCAAAATAATTATGATCAGCGGACGGGAATTCGTTAGGAGTAATTTGCAGGGCGTTCACCTTTAAATTTAGAGACCTTGCACGTGATGTTACTTAATATTCTTCACACGGCCCAAGAGTACATTTAAAAAAAAAATTTTTGGTGGAATCTTTTGTGATCACACACACTACTCATGAGCGTGATAGCTTTATAATTTTCTCTCTAGCAGAAAAATAATATTACGTTTCTTGTATAAAATTTACATACTTCATAAAATAATTTTATTTGAAACAAGAGGTCACAATCATGTTTCATTAGTGTGTTGGCACCGTGTTGTGCATATTTGATGCAGGGAATATGTACAAGGTTAACAAGATTTTTTTCTGCAGTCAGATTATATTTGCAATTAATGATGATCACATAATATAAATTAGCGATTATAATTTAACATATATTGCTTATTTATATATTTAAATATTTATTTTATGTGCTTAAAAAACTAGTTGCGTTTTTTTTCAATAATAAAAGTAACTATTATTAAATAATAGCTATGTAACAATTATAGTCAACCTTGTATTGTACTTGCCGAAAACTTCGGCGGTTTCATATAGAGATATAAATTAATTTAGTATCATTTTGAAACGAGCATGTAGAGAAGACGCCGAGAGGAGCAATTTGTAATCCACCTACTCATTTTTTTAACCTGAGGAAGAATATAATTTTTATGGCGGTAGGTCAGTTTTACAGAGTTTTATAGTGAAATATAAACTAATCTCTATTAAGATCTTAAATAGCGTTTAAGAAAATAGTTTATAGTAAATATGATTAAAAAAAAACTATCCAGTGTAAAGGGAGGATAACATCAAATATTCGTATATTTTAGCACTATGCTAGTATAATTATTACTTTACTTCGAGTATTACTAATTCAGTTTTTAATTACACTTTCTTGGTAAATTGTTGCGAATTATTTCTTTCCTGCAGATATGTTTGCTTTAAATATATACCTGGTTATATAAAAGACGAGATGTATCATCATATCAGTCTTTTGTATATTCTATTAAGTGCTTTTTGCATTTTGTCTGACCTCGCATACCATTACTGCGACTTAGTAGTCTACCTGTGCTTTTCATACCTGCGTTATAAAATTGACTTGAGAACATTGTGCCCCGTTCAAAAATGTATTTTTTAGCTTAATTTTTGGTTTTATACGTGACGATCGTATATTTTAAATATTTAGAATTTTTATATCAGAATAAAATTCTTTATTTTAATATTTATTTTACTCTGACATGAATAAATTATAGTTTCTGAACAAGAGTCAAATTGGGACTTAACAAGTATGGAAATCGATTAAAATTATTTTCAGTAAAATAATTTAGTTTTCCTTTATAAAGTATATGTATCACGTTTGTTTATTTTTTTATGTGTACAAACATCTTCATAATAATGTTATATTAAGGGGCACAATTAGTGTAACCGCCTAAAAAAGGTGATTTTTGGGAATTTATATTAAAAAATTACTTTATCAATCATTTCAAAATTTTAGAAGTATATTTATACATGTTTTAAGAATACATAGTAAAATTTTTGAAGAAAAAAATTAAATAGTTTTTAAGTTATCATCGATCTCCAACGGCGCGACAAAAAAAGTGGCCCTTAACTGCTGCAGTGATTCCGGCCTTCTACATGGATGAAATAAAAAAAAAAAATCTCGTTAAACTAGATAATATTTTCTGTAAAATGAACTACGATAAAAGAAATAGATCAAAAATTGACAAAATGGCGGCGTTTTTTTTTTTAAAAAAAAGTCGAATTTTACCCAAAATTTTGGTCGTTTTTCGACTTAAATTTCGATTTTTGATCCGATCAAAAAATCGATAGTTCATTTTACGGAGAACTATATACAGAACATGTAAAAAAAATTTGATAGTGATCGGATCATTCGTTTTTGAGTAATCACTGCAGCAAATTCGGAAAATGCTGTTTCGAGAAAAACGCGTTTAAAGATAAAATGATCGTTGTACTATATACTATATGTATACATTTTAAATGGCTGTAACTCAAAAACTATTTGAGATATCGATTTGAAATTTTAATATGTTATTTTTAAATATGTAATCTACCGAAATATGAAAAAAACAAAAATCGATTTTTTCAAAATTTCACACTAGTTGTGCCCCTTAATAATTATAATATTATAAAATTATTACTACGATTCTCAGATCAAATCATTTTCCCGCCACAGACTAAATACCTGATTTCGTTTAATTCGGATTTGCCCACCTGTACAAACCTTCGTTATATTTTACCTGCGTTGTAGACACGCACTGGACCGATCTATAATACAAAACGCAAAGTATAATTCTCCTTCTCCGTTCTACTCATGTACCTCTTTTGGTTTCGTATCAAACACTGCCGTTTCTTTCTATTCGCTCAGTCAGTCAGTCTTCCATAGTCTTTCGATATATTAGCAGTGGAATCTTCATACTTTAAAATACTAGAATTATATCTTCGTGTTGTATCATAGTTGTAATACCTTTTTTTTATTTGAAAGTTTTTTTTGTGAAGTGTTTGATGTATTTTTCTTATAAGTGAAAGTGGAAGATTTTGTGGAGGAATAATCAAAAGTTTGCATTAAAGATGCATTACAGAAACGGAAACGTGAGACGTATGTATTCGTTAGGCAGCTAAGGATTTATTTCTTTGGATTAATTGTATATAAGATTTTTGTTTGGAAGCTGGAAATATTATGTATACATTTTTTTAATATAATTTAAAAAATACTTTCTAATTGAATATGAAGGAATGAACAACTAATTGACTAATGATTACTAAATAAAAATATTCCACGTAATAGTGTAATTTCTAATTGAATATGAATTAATGAACAACTAATTAACTAATTATTATTAAATAAAAAATATTCTACGCTTTAGTGTAATTTCTAATTGAATATGAATTAATTAACAACTAATTATTAAATCGTTAACTAATTATTATCAAATAAAAAATATTCCACTTTTCCAATTTAGTCTTCGCCTTTATATCCTTCCATTGATCTGTCTATCAACTTTTTTCAATTCATATTTTTACGATCACCCACAAACTCCAACCGACAGGTGTTAAATAATATTCCCATAAACAAGTGCTTCCGAAATGTAGAAAAAACATTGTCTGGGAATGTTATATGTGGGTTTGCGCTGATTAGAATGGCTGCTTGAATATAAATATATTAAGCAAACATGATAATTATCGTTTATGTTGGGACGACCACTGTTTGCTATGACTGTTTCTGTTTATTCGTATTTTATACTGTTATGAATCATTTGGTATTATTTAAAGCACGTACATACATAAATGTGAAATTCAATCTGTTGTTTTATGAGAATTGTATAAAGTAAATCACTCATCTATCTAATTGGAATTGTTTTCTGGATTTTTGACTCTGATTTATTTAGGAACTGTGTGAGTGTGACAAGTGATAAATTATTGTGAAATAATTTATCACCCCACAACAATTCATTTTATTATTTTTGTTTTTCAAGGTCATATTTCTATTAGATTTATTAATTTATTTTATTATGTTGATAAATATTTTATACAACGAAGGCGACAGTTTTTTTCCACGAACTTGAACTAAAAATACGTGGTCATAAATCAGGCGTGCTTCGAAGTCGTGCCCACAAATTCCTGTGAAATAATTTTCAACGTGCTAATTACACATTCTCGTTTGCACATTGCGACGGTATCGCAATGCTCGAGAACAATATGTATTTTCTTTGGACTCGTCCCATCCCAACAATTTTTCTTTAAAGCTTTGTGTGCACACTCAAGTATCGTGTCGTAAGTTAATTAACGACTATTTATCTAAACAATTGCCTCGAGCAAAGAATATCGGGCGTTAGCTTAACCTGTTTTCTCATTCGAAATCTTTAAATACTTCAGATCAATACGCATAAAGCGCGAGTAAATTTCAGCACGTTGGAGACGAATCGATAAAGCACCTCAACTGCCAATGAAATAATTAAATTTCCTAAATATATAGAGCGAGGAAAACATTTATAATTTATTAATAATAAAACATCTAACACAAGTCCGGTGCCCTGTCTTCTATTTTGAAATTTAAATCAATCTAGATTTTTGACATTTTTTCAATGGTTTTTTAATTCGACACATAAACAAATTCTGCAATATTTTATACCCCAAATTGAAGAGTGAATAAGTTAAAATAATAATAAAGTGAATAAAAATCTATAATCTCACGCATTCCAATGATTGTCTAATAAGCAAAGATCAAGTTTAGATTTTACTCCTCGCCCTTTTTGTCGATATAGAAGCTTTTTGATATTTTGCATCCACAGTTAATCTTGTTTAAAAGTTGTATATATACAATGCATCCAAACTCCTCTATTTGCGACATGTAATTCTATTATTTTATAACGAATTCATTATATTATGCACAAATTTAATTATGTTTACTACCTTTAAGCCATTAATTAAAAGTTATAAATTTTCCTTTACTAAGCCATAAATTAGCATTATTATCAATATTACTCAATACGAGCCCACGAGCCTATATATTAAATCTAAAACCCATGGCTACTATAAACACATTTACAAAACAAAAGCAAATGATTTTTTATACATTTATAACCCGTCATTGTTAAATGTAAATCATCAAGTGTAATATTTGTAATTTTTCAAATTCTAAAAATGACTGCCAATAAGTTTAGGCCAAGAAAAAGACGTAATCTTAATACATTTCTAAATCTAATAACGATTTTCTTCGAATTAATTAGTGGAAAAGCTAATTTTGATTTTCAATTCAATTTTCAGCCGGAATGAAGCGCGAATCGCAAGAAGACGGAGACGTCCGCGAGGCCCCACAGAAACGTTCCAGACGCGGTGATGAGGAAGTGAGGCTTTTGATTCCCAGCAAGGTATGAGGAATATTCTCGCTTTTGAAACACTTATAACAGACTTACAAATGTTTTTTTTTGTAAGTTCTGAAGTAACAACCTCGAATATGAAGTATATTTCATATACGAAAACTGAAACACAATTGTACTTGTGATTTGATTTTTTGTTTGTTTTTGTATCTTTATGACTTTTATTTATTTTAAGGTCGCTGGATCTATCATCGGAAAAGGTGGTCAGAGCATTACAAAACTTAGAGGACAGGTATTAAAATTTGATTCATTTTACAAGAAATTTATTACTTTTTTACTTACATTTTGGAATTTTGGGTTTATATAATATTCAAGTTATAATTTTCAAATAACCTTTTTGAGTTTTATTAATTGCTTTTGATATACTTATTTGCACTTAATTTTTTTAACATTTGAAGTTTTATTGTTGATCGCATAAATAATGCTTTTTAAAGGATTTTATTGGTATTTTATTTGTATTGTATTCATTACATGTACGATTTTTATTTCAATTTAAAAACGTATTAGATTATATTGATTTGACTCAATTTAGCCAGATTTTCAGCAATGCAATTTATGTGAAGGTGCGGCCACTGATAAACTTTTAACTTTAAACAACAGCTTTTTTTTACTTAAACCACATTAACAGAGCTTGTCTTTAACAATCGAAATTCAAACTTGTGAATGAATAATGTTTTATTATGTTTTAGACTAATTTACTAATCTAAGCACTACTGTTATTGTTTGAAGCAAAAATTTCAAAACTAATAGAGATGAATTCTTTTTCTTTCTTTTTCGGCCTCGATCACCTCCCACCAATCTTGAACCACACTTGAACCTGATTGATAATTTGTGCGGTGTCCAAAAAATGTGCCAACCAACCAATCGACCGACCAACCACACAATGACCACACAACCCTGTGCAATACATTCGAATAAAACCCAACAAAAAAAACAATAATTTGCCAAAAAAATCGAATTGCGTTGCTCGTGTGTGTGTGCGCCCAAACAATGCCAAAAAACTAAAAATGCCAAAACAATCGCACACTTGGTTGGTCGACCTGCTCCGAATTGACATCGCATCGACGCCCAATGCCCGCCTTCTTCGATGCCCATGTTGCCACTCATATGCCTTGAATGCCAATGATGATGCAGTATAAAGCCTCAATTACTGTGCCAGATTGCCCTGGGCCAGAACGGTAATGCATATACACTTGTCTTTATTCACATTTTTATCTGTTATGTCAAATCATGTATGAGAGTTAGGACCGAATTGGTTTGTCTGATTCCCATCCAAAACAGTTATCATCCACAGTTTAACATACCGAAGAAGACATCCAATTCCGACCCTAGGCCCTTATTTTAAAAGAAATTAGTGATACTTTTCCTCTAAATTAGTCAAAATTATAACTTTTAGCAAAATTGTAGGAACAGTTTGAGTTTTATGTATAGACCGACCACGATGAAGTTAGTAAAAAAAATCTTCTCATTTGTGATATTAGCTGATTTGAGGGAAAGTGTTACATTTGATACGTTCCAAATCTTATGCTTTTTAAATATATAAATGTGGATTTATTACTTTGAATAAGTTAACATAATTTAATCAATTTATTGTTAATAAAATGATCTTTATATCCTTATTTCCTGAAGCCAATTGCCTTTTTGTGAAAATTTCTGAAGGTTATAGGTTGTAGCGAAGGTCACACTTTTTGTATTTATAAAATGTATCAATTATCTTGTATGCCTTTAATCATTTCCAGATCCAAGCAGCATTATTCCTTGGCTTAATACTGTTTAGAATAAGGCCGTCGCAACACATCTACTAAATCTTTTAAATTTTAATCTAATGATGAATATTTTTGCTCTTGCCCTAATAATAAAATATACTACTGATACTAAAATATTTGTCTGGGGCACATATTGGATTTGAAATGCTTGCACACTAATGTTACTTTCTGCAAAAAAATGACGTTATTAATTCAAAATGACTGCACTAAGTTGCTATCACTAGATTGATTTTGTGCCACCTCACATGGAAGGAATTGCACTTTATTTTGCTCCAAAATGTATAAGATCACAATCCACTATTTTTTGTGTTTAATTATCTTGCCTCTTTACTCAAACTACAAAAATAACAAGAAATGAGCAGCACAGACTTTCGTGTTGCAATAATGAATGTCCTGTCATTTCAACATCAGTTGTTTTATTACATTTTATCTAAATCATGCAAAAGCACTCGCACGTTTCACTACAATTGCCTCTAATACTCCCGAATCGTTCAATTTAATGAGCTTTTATCGAACCTCTTCATTCGGCGCAGATGCGGTTTGAAAACACGGTTAAATTAAATCTTGTTCCATCAATTGGATGAGAGAACGATTTACTAATGCTTACTTTTTGTTTTTTTTTCTATTATGTTCTCGGACATCAGGATCCTTACGATGTACTCTGATCTGGATACCATCTGCAACATCGTGCAGGATGTGATGCCAAATTTGGAACAGGTGAGTGGATAATTAATTTATCATAATAAATTTTAAGTTAATTGCAAGTGTTTTTAAATATTTATTTTATTTGGCTTATTAATGTTTGTGCCAAAAATGATATTAAATTTAATAGAGTTATATCAAAGGTTAAGCACAAGTATAATAATTTTATTAGATATTTGTGACTTTAATGAATTCTTAAAGTTCGTGCTACGATCGACAATATATGAAAACTATATGCCTGTATCACTCGTGATGTTTATGAAATAATCAGTAAATAAAGAATTTAATTAAACTAAACAAGCGAATTTATGAGAGCCTTACTATAGTTGTTGGTATATCTATCAGGTTCTGTTGTCGCCACTATGTCCGCTGCGTGACGAATCGCACTTGGGAATATGGTATTCTATGATATCATTAAACTCCTAGCACGTCATTCGGGGGCGCCTTTGTTCTTGGTTCAGGGTTGAATAGAAATCGTAGCACAAACTTCCATTTTTGCATAAATCGCCTTTAATCAATTTAATTATTTCTAATACGGTTACTCTTGATATTCCTATTTAAATATATTTTTACATACTTTACTTTTTAATCTTTGTATATGATAGCACTTCTATTCTTCGAGTTTTCTTGCTCTAAAATACTTTTATTTAAAGATCTTGAATATATTTTTAATATATCCTTAAAAAATTAAAAAAAAATGATCAAAAATATGTACTGAGGGGCATTCAATATATTGTCTTTACAACCCAAAAAACTATTGATATTTCAGATCTAAGCATAAATATATCAATCAATAATTTTCGTTTGATCACATTTAAATAAAAATCGATGCACGGGCTTCAATTTTTTGATAAATCGTCTTTAATTAAATTATTCTACATTTCCACTCGAATAAAACTTGTATTCAACTATAAACTCACATAAATATATTTATTTTACAAATCACAGCTTTTCCAAAATATTTTATTTTAATTATATTATCATAAGTATAATATTAGGTTGTCAAATATCTCCCTTCCGCTTTTTTGCTCTTGGTTTATAATACAAAAAGGCGGAAGGGAGATATTTGACAACCTATTATAACATACTATTATTTTTAATATTTTTGTATAATTGCACTTCAAGCCTTTAAGGGGTAACAGACTAAACAGTGTTTTGATATAAATTTTTCATGGGGGAAAAGGTAATAAAATTATAATTTTGGAGGAAGTTATTAAGCGTATACAACGTAATAAATTAGAAAAATATTCAAAAATAACTACACCACAGTCATTTTCGCGAGGCACATATAATTTGTGTAGTTTCTGCAAATTTGGATCTAAAAAAATCACATTCTTACAGCTATGTATAAATACGTAGAGAATACGTTTTTGTGTGATTGACAAGTATTTGAATTAATGAGAAATTTAAGTAAGTTCTTTAATATATATATATATAAATTTAAGTTTATATACATTATACATTTTCCTTAAATTTAAATACATTATAAAATTATTTATATATATTATAACTTATTACTTTTTTATATGTTATAGTAAAATAAAATCAAACATTTGAACTGACGAGCATTATTATGTATTACTATTACTGTATTATTATACAGTCTTTATAACAAGCTTAGATTTTTGGATATAAATCTAGACTTTGCTTAATTACATTTAAATTTTTTTATGTCTTTTATCACATAATCGAAGATTTAATATCAAATGTTTTTTATTACTCACGCTGTCGTTTTCCACGATCTCCCTTAACGCTTCTCATAAAATAAAGCAATTTGGGTCATACGAATTCCATATGATGAGTTCATAAGCACAAGGATATTTCTTTGCAATAAACAAGGTCGTATTCGTCTCGTATACTATCAATTTCAGATGTGGCATGTCCTTCAATTTCTCGAATAATATTCTAAGTACATAACGACTGATTACACTTTAATGTGAGAATTACAATTGTTAGATTTAATGGTAATGTGTTTATTATTTCTATAAAATGAAAGCCAAGTAATGAACTTTTGTTTTTACAACATAATGTATAAATCACAGAACGCAAATTTGTTTAATCTTTTATATGCGTTTAGCCTTAGTCTTATATAATACTCATGAGAATGTTTGTAATGAACATGTAATTATAGCGAGAATTATTTATAATGTGTATAGTTTTGTTTTTATTTCATTACTACATGTTTATTTCCATTATCATCAATCCATTGTTGTTCTACAGTGTTTCATTTATTATTTATCGAATTATTACTTTATTTTCCTTTAATATTCAGATTTTTGAATCACATTCATGAGTAAATGAAAACATGCGAAATATTCACAGCAACTCATATGTAATCAATCATTCTACATATAATCAATTCTCAAATTTCTCTACTCATCGTCTGCTTGTACTTATAAATTACATTGGTCGCAGTCTGTTGCTTGTGAATAATTTTAAGAAACAAGTCTACAGTTTTTTAAGAAACAAGTCTACAGTTTTTTTAAGAAACAAGTCTGCAGTTTTGTTTTGAAATGAAGTTATTTGAATGACTTTTCCACGGATGTGCTTATTGCATGTCATTGCAAATCTAATAATAGTCACGATGTTGATTTAAAGACATGAAATGCGTAATTTAAGATGTGCAAGTATCAGAATATTTTGTGTCTATGTTTTTTTTGATTGGACATGAATGGTACATGAAAACGTTATGTGTAGTATATCTAAACATAGAATCAAAGAATAAAAGTAAAATTAAAAAATCAAAATGGTCTTGTTAATGCCAGTCTCGTCAAACCAAAATCAAATTTTTAGCATGCGGGGTGGTACCAAAATAGATCTAGAAATGTAACCGAATATTATTTGGATTTATGTTCAAGGGTTCGCCGTATAGATTTTTATCAATTTAGTTGATTTTCTGCACAAAATATTATATACTCAAACACTTATTATATGGACAAGATTTAAATAATTAATTATATATATTTTTATAAATATTATATATAAGGACGAAATCTTTATATATTACCATTAGCAAGAAGGTCATCGTATTCATAAAGTTTTTGTTCTTTTTATTACAGAACGGCTGTCGGGCTGGTAGCGATGAAGTCGATATCAGAATGTTGATTCATCAGAGTCAAGCTGGATGCGTTATTGGAAAGGCCGGATCAAAAATCAAGGAACTGAGAGATGTAAGTTTGATAAATTATTTGAAACATTCTTTGTACAATTTATAAATATTCGTTGGAGTTTTTTAATTGATTTGCTTCAATCCGAGAGTTCTAGAAAATATTAGGGTTGGGATTGCTTTTTTTTCCTATTGTAGTAATTTAACATATAAAATATGTTATTAATTATCATTCTAATGACCACTAAAATAATTTCATAATAATAATTAATATACAAATTTTAAGATAAATTCATGTATAGCGCGATTTGTTTAACATTCTTAAATTAACTGAAAACATTAATTCAGTATTAAGAATTTGAATTGTGCTTGCTTTTGATATTTATGGAACTAATATATTTTGGAAAATAGATAAATAATAAACTATAATACTATTAAAACTATATCTTATATTCGGACATATTATTTCTTATTTCTTAATGATGTAGCTTTTTTAAGCGATGCTCAACGGTAGACAAATCTGTATTTGATATATTTTTATTAAAATTCTTTAAATTGAATTTTTTAAATGTGATGTAGCTATTTCATGCGGGGAAGGGTTGTTTTAATAATATATTAACTTAATAATATTAAAAACTGAATCTTATATTTAAACATATTATTTCTTATTTTTTAATTTGGGAGCTTTTTTAAGCGATACTCGATGGCTGGCATATTGTATTTCATATATTTTTATTAGAATTTCTATGATGTGGTTTTTTTAAATGTGATGCAGCTATTGTTTCAGTTGGAAGGAAGATTTGCCTCATTCAAAAACATATTTCTCTTGTTATATTTTTAAAAATACTATTTTAACAAGAAACTTTATTGGGGAAGGGTTGTTTTCATTCGAAAACATATTTCTAGTTGTATTTTTTTTTTTAAAAAAATACTATACACAAGAAAATTGTTAGGTTTATATTAAAGTTGGTAAATATAACTAATTTACTTAATAATTCTAGAAATTTCATATCATTTAGACCAAACTACGTCTACCTGTAATTGTCGAATAGTATCCCAATCTAGGTCCTAGATCATTAGATAGGCATAATTTAGATCAGGAATTATATAAATACTGAGTATACAAGGGAAGTGATCTAGACGGCAGGTGGCGCTCTCATACTTTTTAAAAAAATACTATTTTAACAACAAGAAACTTTGTTAGGTTTATATTAAAGTTGGGTAAATTAATAAAATTCTACTTAATAATTCTAGAAATTCATATCATTTAGACAACTACGTCTACCTGTAATTGTCGAATAGTATCCCAATCTAGGTCCTAGATCATTAGATAGGGCATAATTTAGATCAGGAATTATATAAATACTGTGTATACAAGGGAAGTGATCTAGACGGCAGGTGGCGCTCTCATACACCGGGAACGAAGCTAGCACGTGCTTCGTATTTTTGCTGTCGATCGTTTTTTATATATTTTTTAATGATCATCGACAACCCCTAACGGCCGTTTTGTCGTGACACACATTGCTCGTATTACAAATAACCGATTGAAAATGAAAAGTTAAATCTCAAAATTGTTTTGTGAGCTACACATATTTTATAATATTTAATAATCAACAATTTGCAAATCATAATAATAGAACATAGTATAATTTTATAACATAAGTGTATTTAACAAACAATTGGAAGTGCAATTTATTTTGCTTATATTATATTACTGTAATATTAGTTAGGGTAGAGCGGGGCAAGTTGAGCAATCGAAATATCTCGAAAACTATTCACCATTCGTTTAGTTTAGGCATTATATGGCGGAAAGATAGAGTTTTGGGAGAAATAAACATCCCGCGATCGCTAGTGGCCGCTGGGCAAATGAGTGAGGCTCACGGGCGTTTTGTTTATTTTGAGACCAAAAAGTAAAAAAGTAATTCATCGCGAGCTTTCGTCTGGTTTAGTCAAATGTTATTATTTTTTAATCAGGTAAATGTTATTCTTCCATATAATTATAGTAATTTTAATATGCACAGATATTCTGGGTATAATTCTCACGGTTTTTTATAAACTCACTTTTATTTTGAAATTACGAGTTGGGGTTAGTTGAGCTAGTTGCTAAAGTTGTTCTGTCACTAAGACAATTACCATCAACTTTCAGAAATTAATTATTATTTTTAAGATTTAAGCTAAGTCTATGAGTAGTAATATAAAAAATAATGATTTTAAACAAAAATACTGAATATAGTGGTAAAATAATTCCTAAGATACGATATTGTTTTGTTGAATCTACTTTTGGTTAATTATTCAAAGAAAATTACTATAAGTTTTGTTTTCTCTGTCAATAAAGACTATAAATATAGAACTGGTTATTAAAAACTTATTTTATTTCATCAATAATCGACATTGAACCTATGATTTCATTATACTTTCTTAGTGCTCAACTTGCCCCACCTATGGGGTACATTGAACATACTTGCCTTTTTGCATTTAAACAGCTGTTGCTTTTAAATTTTATTTATTACCAAAAAATAGTATTAACACTTTTGTTAAGCTATAAACAACAACTCCATTGAGCCGTATAGCAATTTATTGAGACTTTTCACATTGAGGAGCTACCTCCGTTTAATAAAAATTTGCTCAACTAGCCCCGACCCTATTACAGTTATATATGTATCAATGTGTCTGGTATTACACTAGGTATTTAACCTAATATGAAAAGTTCTTTAAAAATTTTATTCTTTCGACTTAACTGAACTTTTGGAATCGTCAGCGCGTGCATTTATATTCAACAGTTGATCATTATCCTCGCTTCATTCAACACCTGCTCGAACTCGAAGACCGCGCGGTAGTTTTCTTAGCCCGCCGAACGTCTTGCGTTGCAGCTGTCATCTGGCATTTTTACTCTATCAACCGACACCTTTCGGCATGAAAACTTTGCTAACATTCAGATATAATGTTGGTTTTATCATATAATCAAGTATATTTGTTATAGCAGAATCCATGTATATTTGTTCTTCAGTTTTCTGCAATATTACTTCAATTAAATCTTTTTTCAAGTTTATTTAAACAATGTACACAGTACCTAACAAAATACTTCAAAAATTGTTAAAGCTGATATTATTTTACGGTAAATTCTTCTTGGCGTTATTTGAAGTATAATTTTTTCCAACGAATTTGTTTTAAATTTTAAAACCCGGTAAAATAAAAAAATGTTCAAAATGAAATTCCTTTATCCCGATTTTCACAAAAAAATCTATTCATGATTCGTCGCCCGTGCCTAAAACACAATAAGCCCAATTTCAAGTTTACACTCATTGTTAAATTTCTTACTGCTTTAATAGTGAATGGTTTGTTTGTAAAATGATTTTTTTGGTCAGGTAAAAATGCTTCATGTTACCACCACCAATGTGATGTTGTGAAGTCGATTTCAAGATTCTTGGAATTTAAATTCGAATTTGGTTTATTTTTCTTTATAGTTGAATAAATATATATGAATATTAAATAAAATTTTAGTTTTCCATTATATTTAGTCGAACCTATTATTTTTATTGGCACACTTGTAGGAAAAGAACAGAACAATACAGTCTGAAACGTTTAAGAATTATAGTGCTAACGTGCTATGCGAATGTGATACTTCATTTTATTTGTCATTTTTGGCAATGGTGCTAGATATACTTTTTGATAATAAATCAAATAGTCAGCAATATGGTTCTCCATAGCTCGTGGAACTGACTTAGTAGCTCTTTTTATAATTCGCAAAAAAGTCTTCATGCATAAAGCTACAGTTAATTCTGTTACGTCAATCATATAAATTATATTTCATTTACTTGCGGCAATAAAAGCTTAGGAAATCATTATATTACTTGTCTATTTATGTAATTTTATTATATAATTTTAATAATTTAATTTTTTGTGTATTTAAAATCGTATACATTTGTGTGGTTTAACACATGTCACGGTGATGATTTCCGTTGAAACACCCAGTGATGTGAGACGAGTGGATCTTTGCCGGAACCAGCTGTTCTTCTTAACTGAAAAGTGGAATAATTTTATTTTATTTGCTAAGACCTTGTGTTGCTTGTTAAGAAATTTACGCGGTATAATTTCTAATTAAGTGGAATCTTGTTAATTTTTAAAAGCGAATTAATAAAAAGCTCTTGTGTTTATCCATTTAAGATTAACTATCGATTTTAATTACATTTTACGATATATATCTCTTTATTTTTCAATATAGAAATATAATTTATTCCTTTATATTATTATCCTGGTTTCATTATTTTGTTTTGTTTAAATTGGGGTTGATTTTTTCCAAATGGCTATCATCAATATTCAACTTTGAAGCGATGTTTGTTTCACCCTTACGTAACGGAAGTTCACGAGTACGGACGACGAGATCGATGTCTCATGTTTATTTCTACACGAGGTTTTTGTAATCTTCCACTTTTTACCAATGTAATTGATATAAAAAAAGTCGAAGCACTGATAATGGAATTATAATCATTTCCAATGGGAATGGATATAGCTCATGTAGAACTTTTTAGTGTTAGACATATGACTGGCATGGCGATTATAATGTGTTAATAAGGATTTTAAACAAATAAGGTAGCCAATAATATAAAAAATGTCCGGGTGTACTTTGTGTTATCCTCAATATTCTAGATACTTTTACCTTTTTTGATTATTGTAATCAATAGTGATGCAAGATGTGAAGATGTATATTATTATAATTAAAAAGTTTGCGTCAGCATCCTTAAATCAAGCATATTTTACGAAACATCTGTTTTGGGACTACCTTTAAATTCAATAAGTTTCTCGAAAACACGAATTTGTTCCTTCTCCATTGAAAGTGTCCATATTTACCTCGTCTAGCTCACCTTTGCTTACCTTCACCTTCACAAAAGGAGACAAAAAGATTATATGCAGCGATCCTAAATTCTACGCTCGTCTTATTCACAAAGGAACATCTGCGCTGCTTGCCCTACAACTTTTGCCGCCACTTTGTCCAGCCCTCGTTCTATATCACTCGTATTTCGCTTTTTCTTTTGGATGTATGTGTACAGAGTTAGGGGTGGGAATTTCAATATGGCCGCCGTCGATCTGACATAGGGTGTGTGTGTTAAAATCATTGTGCAACGGACACTCGAGAGGGTAGTTTGTCAGGTGGTTGAACTTTAAAGACCTTACTCAAATCTCTCAATATTTTAAGAAAATCTGTACGTCTCATCGAGTGTGTTTAGTGATTCATTTAATAAACTAATATCGATTTTTTTAACTTAATTATTTCATTATTTCTTGATCCAAGAAGTGCCAATGTTGAGACTTTTTTTCTCTTGGAACATTTTTATTGGTGCGGTTAAGATTTTGATTTAACCTCGAGTTTGAGTTAAATAAGGGTGTGTGCGTTTTTTTCGAGTATGTGTGCAAAATGATTGTGGACAAAAAGAATATTGTTGAAGTTCTCACGAAAGCGAGGATGTACCTTCGGTGAGTCTATTGTTGGTTCAGAAAAAAATGCTGATTCTTTTAAAAGTGTCTAAGCTGCCACAGGAATTTTTTAAATCCGGTTTCTCTTATACAATTACTTTTGTTGTAACTGAAAGGTCGATATTTGAATACACAAAAAATATTTTATGCCATTATTTTATATTTGACGTTAAATTTTTTATATTAATGTGTTATATAAAAATTAAACCTTGCCTGTGGTATTTTTATGTGACCGGTGCATTTTATTCATACAGTTGCTTTCGTTACTTCTAACAATTGCTATGAATGTTCTTACTGATTTATGGAAGAAATCTTCAGAATTAAAAAAAAAAGAATTAATAGAATTCATTTTCACCAGAGGTTTATATTTTTCTATAAATTCATATAAAACTAGAAAACAATATTTACTGATATATGTTAATCGTTCAAAGTACTTGATTCTAATGTGTAATATTTTTTATATTATAAGTATTCTACAAACAGTTTCATGTATAATAATCTTGAAATTTAAAATTCTTATGTACACCTTTCGTTCAGCGAATGCATGTTTTCTCACATTTAAATAAATATAAAATAAAATTTTAATCAAAAATTAACATCCTGGATAAAACTACCAATTAACACCTAGAATAAAAATACCAATTAACCAAACATTTAACTTTAAACACTTCAGTAAAATTATTAGCATTTCAACTGGATTACAATTTTACCTTAACTAGTTTTTTTTAATATCTTGTAAAAAAATGTGTATATAATACTGCGGTGCTCTCATGGTGAAAAGCTGATCTTTTGACTATGGATAATTCATTTTCATACTATTTTGTAACTTTCAGAGTACTGGTGCCCGCATCAAGATTTTCTCCAACACTGCTCCTCAAAGCACAGACCGTATCGTGCAGATGGTCGGTCGATCAAATACAATTGTGGATGCCATTCGTGAGATTATCACACTAGTAAAAACAGTAAGTTGGAAATTAATCCACTTCTCATTTTCATAAAAAAAATATTAAATAAAAAATATTTCATATAACATACATATACATTTTCTTATGAAATTACATATTGAACAAATAATCCAAAAATGGAATTGAATTTTTAAAATTTGTCTATTACAAAGTGCTTCATAATTAATTAAATTATTGTTTTTTTTCACAGAACCCAATTCGTGGTGCTGTGAATAACTACGATCCATACAATTACGATGACTTCTATGCCAATGAATACGGCGGTTATGGCTCCAATTCACGCAATGGACCTGGAGGTGACGACTTTGGAGGACGCGGTGGCGGTGGCGGCGGTATGAGAAACGATGACCGCCGCGGTAGCGGTCGCAACAGCGGCGGATTCAGCCGTAACAGCGGCGGCGGCAGTGGTGGAGGCAGCGGAATGAGGTCTGGCGGCGGCGGTGGTGGAATGAGGTAAAAATCAATTATTATCCATTAACAAACATATTTACTAATTTTAATTATAATGTGTACAACTTCAAGTTACAATTATTAAAATATTCTTATGATGTATCCAGACAAAGATGCAATAGTTTAGTTTAAGTTTGATATATTTAATCAATTTTTTATTCCAGCGGCGGTGGCGGCGGCAGAAGCAGTTTCGGCGGTCGTGGTGGCGGTTTCGAAGACCGCGGCTCTTCAATGCGCAACAGTTTTGGTAATCGCGATTCAGGATTTGGTGGTGGACGAGATGGAGGATATGGTGGCCGAGACAGTTTTGGAGGTGGTCGATCTGGAAATGGTGATTTTGGAAGTGGCCGCAATGATTTCGGCGGTGGAATGAGGGATAACTTCAATTCTCGCAACAGTATGTGTAAGTACTAATTGATCATTTATTTTTTTTCATTATTATTGATTTAAAGTTGTGAGTTGAATTTTAGATAATACTTTATTAATGAAAGTTAATAGATTTGTAAGTTGTTCTAAGTTCTGCTAGTTTTTGATAGATCTTATATATTTTGATTTGTTTCCATCTGTGAAATTCCAATGTTGAAAATCTCACAAAAGTGACTTTCTTCATCTTCACATATTTTTGTGGCATTCCATTAAGTTTTATTATAATTCGTTTTACTTCTCTTTTTTATCTTTTGGCAATAGCAATGCATGGGTGCTTACATAACTATTTTATAACCATTTTTTTAATACCCAGAATCAAATCTCTTAACAAAATACTATTATCTCTTTCTTCATCTGTTTTCAAAAACCGTCCCGTTGCCTAATTTCAGCCGAATTTAGCGGTAACAACTTCAACAATCGGTCCGGAGATGGTTTCGGTTTCGGTGGCAATCGCGGTAACTCTATGGATCCCTGGGCTTCGAACAATGGTGGGCCTGGTGGCATGGGTCTGGGAAATTCCATGGGAGGCATGAATAATGGTTCTGGCATGGGCATTTAGGATCGGGACCCATGGGTGGCGGCGGTGGTCCAGTAGGGCTCATGGACGGACCAGGAAAGAGCACTACACAAGTCACCATTCCAAAAGATGTAAGAAATATATTCATATAGCACAAAACGGAATTTGGGATGAAATACTTAAAAATTCAAAGGTTTTCCTGTGATTAATGATAAATTATAGATCCTATGACACTCATGCATTGCTTTATTTCTTTACATTATAAAGTTCAAACAAAAGACTTTGCAAAGTTATTTCCAAATTTGTTACACAATTTTTTCCTGCTCCTTCTCTTATAAAATATTTATGAATCTTAAGTTAATATTAATTAGTATATTGATGCTCTTCATGTGTCTTTTCTGTTTATGGTGCCATACTGTGGCATTTTATTTTGGATCCAAACTTTATAAGTTACACTTAATTGATAATTTATTTTTCTTTGCAGCTAGCCGGCGCAATTATCGGTAAAGCTGGTTCCCGCATTCGTAAAATAAGAATGGAATCCTGTGCTGACATCACAATAGATGAACCGCTGCCTGGATCCAATGATAGAATTATTACAATCTCAGGTCTACCCAATCAAATACAAATGGCGCAATATTTGCTCCAACAAAGGTAAACAGCTTCAGAATTTTATTTTTTATATGTATTGCACTGCATGATTATGGTCGAAACAATATTGTGTAAGAGCTTGTTTTTTTAATTTTATCTTTTATACTAATTTTTTTATTTTTGGGTCATGTTTGAATATGATTTTGGATCAGATTTTTTCACAAAATCTTCTTGATCATATATCACATCATGTTTTATTTGATGTATGCTAGTTTTTGTTCAGTTGTATTATATGTATTAACAATTTCCTCTCACACTTCCTCAGGTTATTATCACCACATCCTACTTCCAATTCTTCATAATCATCATAATATCTACTAACATGGAGAATGTAGTACATTGTGTAAATATTATATATTTGTTTAGTGTTATAGTTTAGAATAAAAATGTTTTTCTGTAGTGTTTTTTTTTTTAATTAATTAATGTACTATTTTAAGTTATATTAATTAATATCTGTTGGTGTGGCAAAGATTCATGATACAATGATTTAGTAAATTCTTAGCTATATCTATATATAATATGTAATGATGCTGTTTTGGTTCATATAATTAATAGATATTTAACTAATTTTATCATTTATTTACCTTGCGTTTTTCTTATTTTTGTTAATCATAAATTATTGATAGATATGATATTATATTTTGGAGCTAAATTTTTCGCTAAACGTTGTTTTATGTGTGTATAAAAAATGACAATAAACATTTAATGAATAATATATCATAAGTTATCCATTTCTGGAAAAGGATGTGACATCATGCTAACAAATCAATCATGCTTGAAATGCCTAACATTAAGCTTGCTGCCATGTGGAAGACTAGTGATTTTGTTGTTTTGTTTTGATATGAACAAAAAATCATTATTCTCCGAATGGCTGCTATGCAATTAACAACAATAATGTGCAAGTTATCAAGGGTAAAGATTCATTACTAAAATTGCTTAAGGTCTTAACATCTCATACTGTTGCATTTTTTTAAATATATATAAATTGCAATAACATTCTATAATGTTGCATGATTATAAATATCATAATCATATGAAAACTATAATATTAAATTTATATTTCAGTGTACATCAAAGCAACGATAGAAAATTTTGAAGTAAATAAAACAAGAATCATCGCTAAAAATCATCAAAGGAGTTTTTTTTTAAGTTTGTATGTTGACTGAAATAAAATTAAGTTAATCTAACTTTTATTACTCTGCATACATTTTAATAAATGTTGAGAAAGAATTAATTAGAAGCTAATAAATACTTTTAAAGTAGTGTAAGATCATGCAACGCATTCACAAAATCGATTTACATTCCTTCACATGGCAAATCATACATTTGGGCATTAATAATAAATTTTATATATATGAACATTCTACTTTTTTATTATGAACTGCACAATATGGCAATGAATGATTGTAAAATAATTTATCAGTACAAAACAGGATATTTATGAATAAAAAATATTAACAATGATTTTCAACCAAAAATATTTTTATAGAGTATAGGATTAGATAATTATTCATTTTAATAACATAGCAATAATAAACACTTATAAATAAAATGTATCTGTAAAATGTATTTCAATAAATCTATAAAACTATATAAAATTATTTGTTCTAATATTTATTAACTCATAATATTTGTGTTTTAATGAAAATGTGTTATCTAGGAAAAAGTAGTATCTATTTATTGCTATACTAAATAGGTATGAAAGTTCTATATCAAAATCAAAGAATTAAAAGTAATTATTAACTAGCCAAAAGTGGAATTTTGCCATAAGGTAAGTTGCATTAATTTTTCCAGATCTGTAAATAATTAACTTAAATTAATTGACTTGGAATGCCTAGAGAACATAAAATTATCAGAACAGATTTTCTGACCAAAACAAGCATCTTTAGAATGTTAAAAATGATAAATATTAGGCAGTTTTTAAAATCTTTATTGATCACATTTACACCCAACCTTTGAGATATATTTTATTGATTTTTGGAAACTAAATACTAATATATGTGTTTATTTTGAGAAAGCTATGCAAAAATATGAGTGACCATTCTATACATCAAATTTATATATCAGTATGTACAAACATTTCTGTGATATTATATACATTTTAAAAAATTATTGTAAAATAAAAGTATAAAAATACAAAATAATGTTCTAAATGCTTTTAAGTGTATAAAATGAATAATAATTTCACAGAAAATTTAAATTATGAAAATTAACTGAATTGGAAATAAATTGCTAAGTAAAATCAAAATATCCTAAATGCATATCTGTATACACAAGTTTAATTACAATTAGGAATGTTTTTAACAAAATTCATGTCCTTTTCAGTTATTTTTATTTTCAATGATGAGAACTAAGATCACTCTGAAGCCTCCAGTCACATGTACTTATATCGATAAGCTAAAACACCAATGATTCCAACTGCCACGGATCCAGCAACACAAAAGTAAGTCTTCAACTAAAATTAGGAATTTAGATTTTAGACAACCATTTTTTAATCTTTCTCCAGCAAAAAAAATCTCATTTTAGTAAATCAACTGAAATATATAGAAATGTTTATATTTTCACTTGATTTATTGTTACAAAAAAAATTGTGTTTTACTACTTTGCAAAATCATATATTTAGTGAATTTAATCATTTTTACTTAATAGTCACCTTATTCCCAGCACTTTTCCCACTTGCTTTTGCTTGACTGCTCTCTTTAATAGTTATAGGCTGTCCTAACATTTTTTTGTATAAATTTTGTTCATGTTTAGCTTCATTTTTCGATTTTTTTTGTAATCGCTGGAGTTCTTGTTGTATTGTTACATTATTAGGATCCAAGACTTGTGCTTTTTTCAGCACTGTTAGTGCCGCTTGAGTATTTCCTTTTGATATCAGAACCTGAAACGCATTTTTGGTTTATTATTTGATAAATTTATTATTTATATTCATTGTTAATTGGCAGTATTTGAGAAATTCAATATTTTTATTTTACTTCTTCTTTTTTACATACCGATCCTTTGCGAAATAAGGCTTTTACATTGTTAGGCTGACAACCTAGAACGTTTTCAAGGCTTTTTAGTGCTTGATCCCAAGCTTCAATTTTCATTTGCGCTGCAGCCATATTATTATATACTTTCACTCTATCTTCTAACAGTTGCTGCAAATCTGAGTCTGTGACCTTTAGATACACATTAATTAATTTATTTATTTTTATTAAAATGGCAAATTAATATGCTTAAACTACCTTATATTCACCATCTGGACCTGGATCTATGATACCTCCTTCAACATCATCTAAGTACTCTAAAGCCCTTCGATAACTATGGATAGCAAGAGTATGCTCATTACGGCTGTACCACCAATTTCCACGTTCCCTCTTTTTGTTTCTATATTAAAATTACAATTATTATTGACAACAAAGGTTATACTTAGAAGTATGATAAGTTCAGTTACCCAATGATTTTTCTAGATGAAATTGTTTTGGTTTCAAGATCATTTTCAACTCTAGCTTCCCATAAAGTAATTTTATATGTTAAGTTAGAATTTGGTGGAATCACACTCCCGTTACCTATATCTCCAAATGCAAATCTTGAGGCAACATATAACTCACATTCTTCTTCTGTATCCATTAGTGCCAGAGCAAGATCCAGCCCCTGTATTACCTGAAAATGAAATAGTATCCAATCACTTGAAGTAATGTAATGAAATTTTAATTAAACCCATAATATAAAAATTAAATCTAGTAAATAATAAATTTAAACAAAAATTAATTCTTACTTCATTATCACCAAGTTGTACAATTGCTTTCTCTGCTTTGTCTACAACAAGCCCATTTGATAAAGAACCCTCATAAGTAACTGTGCATAAATCGTGTCTTTGTGGTCTCGTATCAGGTATACCTTTTTTGATAACCTTTCAATAGTATAAATTGTTTTGAATAAAATATTATCACAAAATTCCAATCTGATATACTTATCCTACAGTTTTAACAAGCTGTCCATTTCCCAAAATATCCAGAACACCCACATCATCCTTCTTATCCTCTTTGTTTTCTTCGGTGTTCACCTCTTCGTTTTCTTCAGTATTCACTGGTGTATTGAGATCAGTTTTCGTTTTGGCAGTATTACCAGTTTCAAGCACCTCATTCTCATTGGGAATTGATAAATCTTCAAAAGAACTACTGTCTGATTTGTCATTTATTGATGCTTCAGCCATTGTTTATTCGAGACAGAGTTATACAAAATTTGTTGAATGCACTAGATAAGCATGCACGATTTTTGGTTATGTGACTCAGCATCTAATTTAGTGCTGCAGCATGGAAATAAAGCCTCCCTGGGTGTTGATAATTGAGAACACAAGTCTAAAATAGAAAGTATTCATTACTAAAATAAAAATACTGCTGTTTAGTGAAAATCTAAAAACAATATTTGATATAAATACAATGATAATTTTTCTACTTATAAGTTTAGAAAAATCAACAAATTGTGTTATTGTTTCAAAGTGTTCTTCAGATATTGAATGTGAGATAATTTCTTACTATATGACCTTTAGACAATGAAATTTGCTTCCTGAAGATTATGTACTATGTAGTACCATAAATACATCAAGGCATTATTAATAAAGATCATGGTATTCTCATAGTTTGAGGGAGTAATTAGTAATTATGCAAATTAGTGTCTGAAACTGTTAAAATATATGTCAATTTGCACAATCATCGAAGTAGTAAATACATTTGCAGTGAGATATAATAGCATTCTGATAATTGTAGGACCTATAACCACATTGTCACTGTAACTTGCATACTTTAAATGGTCTTTTGCAAATATTTACTTCATTTATCAAATATACAATATTTATACGTACATTGGTGCTATAGGGTATTTTCTGTCATTCAGCACGATTCATAAAACATAAAACTGACAAATAGTTTTAAAAAAAATAGATGACAGAAACTTTTTTTTAATCATTTGTCATTTTTTAATTTGTTAGAAGGTTGGTGTCATGATTGTTATTGATATAACTTCACAGTTTTGGTTTCTACTGTCAATTTTATCAAATAATACGCGATGTCATTCGCTAATCAAAACTGAATAAATTTTAAACACTTATATAATTAAATAAATATTTGGTTATACATTGTTTTTCTCATGTGCGACTATAATGTTCTCTTTTTTTCGCAAAAAATCAGTATCAGATATGTCTGATACTTCAAACGCAGATGATAGTAAATGTTTTGAAAAATTGTCAGAAATTACAAAGGAATTGGGTTATGCAGATACAGAAGAACTGAAAGAAACTATATATGGTAAGCATCAATTTTTTAAATATTCAGCCACTATTTAATTATAGGCAACGCACTAATGATCATGAGATTAATTTTTCTCATTGTGTGAATGATACACCATCAGGGGCTCGTAGCAAATTCTTTCAATGGGGCCCTATCAGACGATTTCTAAATTGTCACATTCTACTCAGTTTAATTTTAGTAAACTGATTTTTCATGTTCCTTAATAAATTAATGTAAAAATATATTTGAGGATTGCGACCTCCTGGATTCGATGGCTATTGTTAAGCCACTGTATAGAATCATTTATTACATGTTTTTGGATAAGTCTATTCTACAAATTATTTCTATTCTTTCAGACTATATCAGAACAATCCGAGATCCAGAAAAGCCATCTACACTTGAAGATTTAAATGTAATTTATGAGGATGGTATATTTGTTAAAAAATCAACAGCCGATAATGTGCATATTGTGAGAATTGAATTTAATCCGACTGTCCCCCACTGTTCCCTAGCAACTTTAATAGGACTTTGTATAAGGATAAAAATTGAGCGTTCAATCAATCATAAATTAAAGCTTGATATTTATATAAAAAAGGGAGCTCATACTACTGAAGATGAAAGTGAGTTCTGGCAGTCTTTATTTTTCACACCATATTATGAAGTTATTTTAATTTTAAGTTATTTTGACTTGAATTTGAAATGATGTAAGACAAGTAATATATTAGGATACATATTCCTTTATTTTTATGAAAAAAAATATAAAAAAATCTTTTGACACAGTAATTAACCATAGAATTATATGTTATCCAAAATTACTTCTAACGTTTTATAATATATTTCAGTTAATAAACAAATAAATGACAAGGAAAGAATTGCTGCAGCTATGGAAAATCCAAATTTACGAGAATTGGTTGAAAGCTGTATACAAGAAGAAACTTAATGGACTATGTAAGGGAGAATCGATTGTAATATGAAACTTTGTATGAGGTAACATTTAGTAGATTAATATATTTTGTTATTGTAAATTTTATGAGTTAGCAATAAATTTTTATATTATATTTTTGAATCTTAATAATGATTAGGTCGAGTGTCAAGAGTATTGGTAATTTACTGGAATCTTGAATGATATATGTAGTGAAGCAACTTAAGATAACTTCATAAAAAAATTCACTTGTTAAGAAGTTGATTTACATTTCATACTAGGTCTGAAGATATCATTTTAAAAAGACGTTTTTTTAAAAAAAATGTTTTATTTTATCAGTATACAATTTGTTCTTAGAAGTGATTAAAAAATTATCAAAAGTAATAAATCATTTAATTAGTTGCATCTTCTTTAGCCACACCGTAGGGTTCAGAAACAGCTTCAGCACCAGAGTCTACAATTTCAACATCACGTTGTGGTTTGTCTCTGGAATCTGTTGATGTTGATTCAATTTTCCTCACCACATCCTAGAAAATTTAATAAATATTTATAAGATTAAGAAGCAAATGTAATTTTGCAGAATTGTTTAATATATAGTATTAATTTGAATTTACATGTTGAGTGAAATACTTTTTCAAGCTTACACAAAAAATAAGTATGGATTTTTCATGAACTGTACAAGAAAATTGATAATAGGACATTTGTAATGATGGACGCATTTAAATAAATTTACAACTAAAATTGGAGGAAATATCGGCAATATTCATTGCAATATTCATGCAATGAGAATATTAGCAATTGAATGAAATTCTTGGGGTCACGTGTTTTCAGAAAGTTTCATTTGGATTTACTGGATATCATCATATACATAGTAAAGTTTGATACTCACCATTCCCTTGATCACTTTTCCGAATACAACATGACGTCCATCTAACCAGCCAGTGGCTTTTGTAGTGATGAAGAATTGAGATCCATTAGTGTCTTTGCCAGCATTTGCCATGGACAACCATCCAGCACCATAATGCTTCAACTTAAAGTTTTCATCCGCAAAACGTTCTCCGTAAATTGAGCGGCCTGAGGCACAAAAATTTCAAATTAATCTTCGAGGAAATTGCAACAATAATTGAAAATGATTTATCGTTTCACATATTTACGACGTTGTTTCTACGCGAAGCTAAAGCATCATAATTTTTATATTCGATAAAAATTGGGATCGTAAAAATTAATGGCAAATAACGAGCTATTATTTCTAGCCTAAACATTTTAATAATATACGTCATATTCTACTATTGCGGATAAACAAACGATGGCCGAACGTTACCAAAAATTAATTAATCAGCTCGTTCCTTGATTAGCATCTTCAAAACAGTTTTTTAAAATCCAGATTGGGTTCAGGATTTTCGACTAAAACGCGGAGAAAATTTTTGCGCTTATCTGCTAATTAGAAAGAAACGGCTCGATCGACCGTCGTGCAAAACTAATCAAAGCCAGTCCTTATAGAAATGGATTTTAAATTTTTGAAATTGGTGCAGTCGTTTTGACTCAAAAGTTGTAGGTTTTGAGACAACTTTAGGGTGTCAATATACAAGTATTTACAGACTTACAGCTGGGTATCTCGAATTCCGAGATTCTTACCTAATTTAAGCTTTAACTGAACTATGAGGAAACAAAATTAGCAAATTGAAATTTCTGACAAAAACAAACTTTTCCTTCGGGAGGTTTGTAATGAGATTATGGAATTAATATTGTGTATTCAAAAGTCGTTGCAATGTTTTGCAGGAATCTAAAAATGCGACAAAAACGACTGATAACGGTGAGATACTAATAACCTTTTGAAATGATTAGATATTATGCATAAGCCGATAAACTGTGACCATCTGCATTTAATTATTTTACAAAAAACCATTTTACACATTTATTTAAGTTGTTAATTATTAGGTATTGAACAATTTCATCAACAAATTTCAAGCAGGCCTGGCAAATGGTCAAAGACCTGCAATAACATGTATTATTATTGAAATACCGGTTATGATAATTAAAATAATTACACGAGATTATGAAATGTTTATATTTCAAATATCAATATTGAAACAGATTGAGAATTGCTACCGGTAAAAATTTAATTGGATCATTTCTTATGCAAAAACATATCGTATTTTTCAAGATGATTTGTAAATTCATGAACAAAACTGAATCAGAATTGGCAAATTTAAACCAGAGACCCAGAAAATTGAAATATTGGTTATAATAATTAAAACAAATACATGCGATTGTAAATTTATTTATATATATATACATTATTTTCATATCTCAGTCAGGCAGAGTTGCCTGGTATGAGAGTTTATATTAATAAAATAAATTTAAATTAATCAACATTCAAACAAATTTCACTAAAATATGTTTCATTTTTCAAAAAATATGAATTGTAAATTTTTAAACAAAATTGAGACAGAAAATGGTCAGATCAAGACCTACTAAATTGAAATATCGGTTATGATAATTAACAAGCGATTATGTATTCTACCAATATTGAAACAGATTGTGAACAGAAAACATTGAACAATAAATTTGTTTAATGTGATCTTTATATATACTGAAAAAATTTAATATTTTTCAAAATATGAATTATTAATTCTACAAAAGCGGCGTATATAAGAAGTACTCGGATAGAATTCGAAACAAGTTGATATACATGAAAATTGCAATACTGAAACTTATATTGAATTCTGAGGAATAAGTTTTTTGATATGAACGTGTTAATAGAAATGTTGAAAAACTATGGGAATATTGGAAATAGAATACTATGAGTAAATTTATTATAAGAATATGAAAAATAGTCGAATGACTAGATGTTATACCAAAACAAAATTCAATAAAAATAAGTACTCTACTATTTTGTAACACATTTTTTCAGAACGGAATTAAAACATTGTTCATATCCGCATTCACAATAAAAGGGCGCTTATTTATTAAGCATGACATCCGTCCTTTTATTATATTGTAATGTCGCTTGTAGCAATAGTAATGGTTCTAAATGAATAATCAAATTATAGTCTGGTAGTAGATATAAAACAATTAAAAACCAGAATTTTTATGTTTATTCTATGTAACAATTAGACCGTGCATAATATTTGTCATTTGCATATTCGAGGTGACGAATTTTGTTTGAAAATTCAATTAACATATTTCCAAAATTGTAATAACGTGTAGATTCGGCTTTGAATTCGTTTATCATCTGTTACATGATATTTTTTTTTATGTAAATACAACATTGCAAAGTCGTAATATTTACATTTAAAATCGGTTATCAGTAGCAATGAAAGTAAAAATAATAAAACTTCGAAATTGAGAACTGCCATCTCAGATTTTGAATAAGGGGTCCATAATAAGTAAAATTTTGAATAATAAGGATCAATTTTAAGATATCGTATCTATACTAGATTTATACTTCTTTAGATATGATATATTAGATTTTTTCAGACCCACATATCAGAGTTAGGGTCACTTGCAAACCAGGTTTAACTATGTTAAAATATTACATTATTCATTATATTTGTAATGTTTTCATTCTAATTTATTTCCCATTATGAAACGCAAGTGTTACATTAAAAGGAATTTGAAAAATTTTGATTATGAACTAGTTGACTGTGTAATGGATTATTTTATCATAATGTACATCTTATCTCGAAAAATTATATAAACCTCGTTTGCCAGTGACCCTACTCTGATATGTGGATTTTAAAAATTTATTATAGATTATAAATAAGGTAATTAGAAAAGTATTACATTTACAAACAATTTGGAATTCAGAATGACTTGAAATGTCGTAAATACAAAATTAGCATTTCGGATTTTTTGCCAAAAACTACTTCGGGAATTCAAAAAATTACAAAAGTAGTTAAAAATAATCAGGTGCTATTTTGTATTTGCATGCAGAATGAAAGTATTCTTTAATAAATGCGAGATAGAGGAGTAAGAGGTCAATGGACCATCACTATCAGAGTTCATCTAACTGATTGCTTGGCGTATACATCATATAACTCTTCAGATACTTGTGTATCTGCAGTAATAAATTTAAATTAATATTGAACCACATATAATTTAACCCTTTCCACTCACGAATTCCGAGATTTGAATGATTCTTGCCGCCGGAGCGGCGGCATCCGAGTGGAAAAGATTAAAACTTCAAGTATAGAATTTCGAAAATTTCAAACAAATGTAATAAACCAGTTCCAGTCTAAAAACATTTTTATAATAATTTCAGTGGATTTATTAAATCTTTATTTTTGTTAAAATATAAGATGAACGGGACGACACTGCTGTACGAGTCAGCAAGCCACCTAAGCATTTGTTGCACAAAATATTTTAAGATTTTCTAATCATTATCGATATATATGTATATATTTATAAACAAGAATTACACTAAAGAACTAAAAGTTACAAGACAAATTGGAATTCTGAAGAACTTAACTCTTGAGTGATAAATCTTGAAGCAAAAGTGGACGAAGTGGATGTCATCTATAGGCGACATTGCAGCGTAAGGGTTAAACATTCTTCAATACTTATGAATAAATCACATGACTAATAATATTTATTTTTAGTTTTATTTGTAGAGACGTAAGTAAATCTCAAACAAAAACAAAATACATGAACAATGAAAAATAATTCGCGGTTCGTAACCAAATAAAATAAAAATATAACACGATAAGAATAATTTCGAAACCAAAATAAAACTTGCAAGATCATATTTACGTCAATGGCACGTACCCAAAAAATAATACAACATAAAAGATAAAAAATATATTCGAAAAATCTTATTTACTAGCAAAAACTAGTTATTAAGAAGAATTTCGAAATTATAGTGTAGAACATTTTTATGGTTGAATACGTGTATATGTTGTACATGGATCTACTAGATATTTACGATATATAATCGTAACCCTTTCCACTCGGATACCGTCGCTCCGGCGGCAAAATACATAATGATCTCACATTTTGCGAGTGGAAAGGGTATTTGATTTTAGAAGTCAGTGGGTGTACTGGTCATTGAAATATGTTCCCAGTTGAGTTTGTTTTAAATTCGTTGAAACCTCTTATTTTATAGTAAAACTATAAACGTTGTTTTGAGAAAATAAATACATGCTCTAAATGAAATACAAGGTACTACAATGAGATACAGGTATTAAATACCTGTTTCAATATTATTTACGTGCAAAAGACTTTATTAAAAGTCTAAAAAGAAATTAGAAATTAAAATGTATATTTTTTGGTTAGGTACGTAAGGAAGTGAACTAATTTACAGGATTTCAATAATTCTGTCTTCAATAACGATTATTATTTTAATTTTTTCCCAACTTACCTCCAGTTCCATCTCCCCTGGTGAAGTCACCACCTTGAATCATGAAGTCCTTGATGACACGGTGGAATTTACTGCCTTTGTATCCTTCACCTTTAGGTTTCTTGGACAATTCTACGAAATTTTCAACTGTTTTGGGTACAGTGCCCCCAAAAAGGCCGATCAAAACACGGCCTGCGGGTTCACCACCAATGCTGATGTCAAAGTATACCTGAAATAAAATAAACAATGATTTGAAAATATTGGATAAGGGATTAAGTCAGTGTAATTAAGATGGAGATGATAATGTTGAAGATTTTTGTACACATCACGTACTACTACAAAAATTTGATATGAAATGGTTATCATTTTTAAGGTTACCCTTACCTCATGAGTAACTTTTGGACCTTTAGGATCTAATCCGGTATTACAGCTAACTATAGTGAACAGGCATAAAAGTGATATACAATAAAAGTAACCCATTTTGAAATTCTTTTACCGTCTCAGTGAAGAGACCGAGATATTAATGACAAGTTGTGGAATCCTGCTTTGGATGTGATGTATCTTTTGAAACAAGCCGATGGTGTTGTACAAACTCGGCATCGCACAATGACAGCGCATCTGAAGAGTGGAGAAATATATATCGTACTCTTTAATCGCGTCAGTAAATACATTTTGAAAATATCATGCAAGGTGGGTGCTTCTGATTGGTCGATACCGAAAGCAGGGTAGTGCAACCGTGAAACATCTTCAAATACCAATAATAGTAAATATAATAATAATTTATTTATTTATTTTTGAAAAATATAGCCCACAAATTTCTTCCAAGAGGACTTAAATATACAATTATTTTACAATATGGATAACAATTAATATATATACAAAATTACGATATATAGTAAAATAAAAAATGCACTTAACACAAAATTACATAATACAGAATGTAACAATATTATTTATTTACATAGAATAAGATAAAATAATGAAGGATATTTGAAAAGAACAAAACTTGAGCAGATGGAGATTATTTGATTAGGTGAAGTGTTATGATTATCTATTTCATTAGTAATTAAGCTAAATTAGTAGAATAGGTGAATTTAAGAGAGAATTATATTTAGGAATAGGATAATTGAAAAATAATTGTAAACGCGAAGATAGCTTAGGAACATTAAATGATAGTTGGTTAAGAATAAGAAGACAGTCTATAGCATTATTGCAATGTTTAAATAAGAACATAATAGTACAGATAAATCGACGTGTGGCAAAAGAAGGTGTACCGAATTCTTTTAATAAAGTGTTCAATTCATCGAGTTTTTTGTAGGTGTTTGTATCTCTATATATATTTTTTCTATCTTTTTGTAGTTTTTCATTCTTATTGTTTAAAATAAAAGTATGTTAACCATATTAAATAAAGTTATTTTTTATTGTCTTAAAACGTGTAAAGACATTTTAACACATACATGTCTGCATATGTTCATATTGACTTTGACTTCCCTTGAATACGAGATCTCTATGTAAAAGACTTGTATTTTATATCTAATTTTTGTTTTATATTTCTAATCGACCTAACTATTAATATTTATTTAAAACATTTTTTGTTTACAGACAAGTTAGTGCAATAAATATTAGTGCTAAAGCAGGCTTGAATACTAAAATATCTACTTTTAGTCCAGTCATTATAGCAAGTTCACCTCGGAATTCGAGATACCCAGCTGTAAGTCTGTAAATACTTGTATTTTGCACCCTGAAAGTTGTCTCAAAATCTACATATGTTGCGTACACCCTACCATATGTAGGTATTGAGACAACTTTTAGGGTGCAAAATACAAGTATTTTTAAGCTTAAATGACTGGATTATTTATAATAGACTGGATAACATAAAATATGATGTCGAAACGTTTGGAACATTACAGATTATTCTATAATTTTTGTATAGAATATATCTCAACACTCAACTTAATTATTCTTAATATGATTATTGACTAATCATCACTGTACTCAACTGTACACTACTTAATGTAATAAAGAATCTCATACCAAATTTTATTTTGGTTTTAGAAGATTGTCAATTTAAAATTGTGAAAAATATTTTTCCGTTCACAATAATTATGGATTGAATATAAAATATTATAAATGATAATCAAATTGAAATGTAGTACTTCATTTCTAATGATTGTAGGCATAGACCTTATACAAATTGTATAAGGTCTATGATTGTAGGTTGAGAACAACTGCATGGCAATATCATATTATGAGTTGAATAGTTGAAAAATATTTGATATTACAGAAATGTGGGATTGGTATAGTTTATTTATTTTATTTGGCTTATAGAAATTTGCATTACAGATTAGTTAATAACAATATGAATAAATGATAAACAACGGCAAATTTAGAATTATTAGAAAATGTAGTCCATTGTTCCTATTAATTCCTTTTTTTAGTTTGTTTTCTAATACCTGGAGCAGGAACTACATAATTTTGATGAATTCAACTTTTTTTATCTCAAATTACTATTTATAAGGTATATACTATAATATACTATACTAATGTTTTATAATTATGAATTTCGTATAAAAGCATTCGTGGCAATGTAAAAAAAATACAAGAGTGCTTGTAAATATAAATGTAGCAAAACGGTTTATTATTCTAGTTGACATTATAATATTGCCCTCATTATCTTTTTAGTTTTTTTTTTTAATTAATGAATTTGTATTTTAAAATTTATCAATATTATGGTATTATATTACGCCTAGTATATGGGTAAAATCTAGGCTAGTTCTAAAACGTTGGTACTGTGGTTGGTACAGCATTTTTTAAGATGGTATCACACGCGAAAACTTCAGAATAGTTACATCGTCTTGTATAGAGTAATAATTTGGCGCCAATTATTTGCAAACAATCACTTGCAGCTTGCAAAGTTCGGCTCATTCTTCGTCTTACATCTAACTTGATTTTCTAAACCATATATTGTATTGCTTTATCTCTATTACATATCATAGAAAATTATATTTCAAAATGCCCAGCGACGGAACTGTATTTTTGCGATATACCAAGTTGTCTGAGAATGCTTTTCCCCCAACAAAAGGATCTGAGAAGGCTGCGGGTTATGACTTGAAAAGGTAAATTCAAAACAGCGATGTTTACAGTAAAATAATAATGTTGCATTAATATTTATGTAATTTTAGTGCTTACGATTATGTTGTACCTGCCCGCGATAAATTGGTTATCAAGACAGATTTGCAAATTGAATTGCCCTCAGAGTGCTATGGTCGAATCGCCCCTCGTTCGGGTTTGGCAGCAAAAAATTTTATAGATGTTGGAGGTAACTATTATTATAAAGTTTGTAAAAACCTTTGAATTCAATTCTTTATTCTATTTATCATCTTTCCTGATAAATTCATATACAATTTTTAATATATTATTCTATAAGAATATATTTTGATTTTGTTTCTAGCTGGAGTTATTGATGAGGATTACAGAGGAAATGTAGGAGTAGTATTATTTAACCATTCTGCTGCTGATTTTATTGTCAATAGAGGTGATAGAATTGCACAATTAATTTGTGAAAGAATCTATTACCCAAAACTAGAAGAAGTCAAATCTTTAACTGAAACTACACGCGGAGAGGCAGGCTTTGGCTCTACAGGAACTCAATAAAAATATTTTGATATTGTTCAATTAATTATAAGTCTACAACATGAATTTGTGATATCATTTTTATAATAAATGTTTTTGATTACCAAATATTTGTTTCTCTAATTTATGAAAATTAATTGAAAAAAGTGTTAAGCAAAAAAATGTTTCATTACATTGAAAATATTCTAAACCATTTTTTTAAAATAACTTATTTGTTTGAATAAGTCTTTGTAAATATACAATAAATGTAAATTTCAAGATAAATCTACTGCACTGATAGTGAATCTCACATTGTAGTTTTCACAAATTCTGAAAATATCCTACAATTAGTTTAAATGTACTAGTAAATATACTTCAAAAAGTGTAAATTTTTTACAATATTTGTAAATCTACTACAAGGATTGTAATCTTACTATAATTAATCTACAGATATAAATTTGTAAATAAAGTTGTCATGTTCTATATTTAAAAAAATAAAGGAGTACATCATGAAAATTATATTCATCTTAATAATTTCAAAAAGCGCGCGAACATTTTGACCTATCAATTTGGCCTAATTCAATTTTCTTATCTGACAATACTAAACATGATACAGTTATGACATATTCAAATAAAATGGTTGGTTATTGTTTAGGTTTCGTTCCTTTTAATCTGCAACTCCATGCAGTGGCTGCAATAAACTAGAATCTGGGCTTGCAAATAAATCATTGGGATAATGATTAAACAGGACAAAATGACACCAGGTAAAATATTAGCTTTATAATTTTTATAATGTATTGTAATCGTTAATTTTTCAAATTTCTATTAGTTTCATCTAAAAAGAAAGAAAGGGGCAAAGCAGATAGAGCGGTTGAAGTAAGTGATTATCAAATGCAATAGAGTGCAATTAGTTTATGCAATAGTTTTATTGAAAGCAACTATGTTTTTAGGATTTCTCAACTCCTACCAAAACCGGCTATATAGATATCCTTCAAGAAATTTATGGAGACAAATGGCTCACTCCTAATATACTTAAAAATGATATTATCAGACAAGAAATAAAAAGCTCAAAAAAGAAACTTGATTTGAAATCTATAGAAAGGTCAATTCTACATTTATAAAATAACGAGCTTTTATTTTCTGTATTGCCTTAATTTTAATAATTCTTACGTTTTAGTGATGTGAAGGATAATTCTTCTGATGATTTATTTAAAAATGATCATTTGTTAGAATGCTCTGGTTCAGATGATAGTTTAATTGCAAATACAAAGAAGAAATATGACAATAATATTTATGTGAGTGATAGTGGTTCAGAAGCTTCAAGTCTTGATGAATCTCCTACAAATTTGGAAAACATTTATGGAACAAATAAATCTACAATGAAACAAATTAACACTGTTGAGAAAGTTACAAGTAGTGGTAGCTCAAGCGAAGATTCTTCACAAAATAGTAGAAAACTGAAAAAGAAACAGAAGTCATTAGATTCCTTTATAGTGGTCTCTTCAGAATCATCCACAGATACTGATGATGCAAATACTCCTGCCTATTACAATCGATTGAATTCATTGATTCAAAAATCTGTCCCGAAAGAAAAATCAGGTTTTTCAAGCAATGTATTACGAAATAATTTTCGTAAGAATGTTGTTAAATATTTTGACAGCTCATCTAGTGCTGATGATGAAGATGATGATGGTGATAGATTGGTAAATGCAACTATTTGTGCTGTGGATGATGATGAGGAAATTGATTCTTTATCTGAAAATATCATTGATATAAAACTTTCTGATAATTACAATTATAAAAAGTACAAAGCCCAAAAGAAAAATAGAGAAGAACTTACATTCTTGGAAAGTCTATCAGGTATTCATTACTGGTATATACTGTTAATGTGTTGATCTTTTTCCAAAAATGTCTTGAATTCTATTTTCAGAAAATGTTGATATAACTTTATGCCATAAAGATGCAATACCTTATTTAAAGAATTTCAAGAGAACTCGAGAAAAGCTCTCTCGAACATTATTTAATTTATACAATGAACAGGTTTTTGATAATAAACTTTCTAGCAATATGGATCTTATTTGGTGCAATTCTTTGAGGACAACAGGAGGGTAATAAATTATATTTAATATATGAATTAACTTCATAAGAAATAACTAAAAAAATTTTTTAGTTTATGTCAATCAAAACGAATATACCAAAGTAATGGAGTATCTTATGTATGCTCAATTAAGTTGAGCACAAAAGTTGTTGATCGTCCTTGCAGGCTTAGGGACACCCTAATCCATGAGCTTTGTCATGCTGCAAATTTTGAAATAGATAAAATTAGGGATGCAAAACATTCATTAAAATGGAAATATTGGTAAAGCATAATATTTGTGACTTCATTTATAACTTATGACTATTTGGTTAATTATCCATAATTTTAGGACAAGGAAAGCTGAAAAATGTTTTCCAGAATTGCCACCAATTAACACCACACATAATTATATTATAGAATATAATTTTGCTTATCGATGTTCAAAATGCAGTAGAACGTATGTTGCAAATATTTGTTTGTGAAAATAATGAATTATTTTTTATTATAATAATTGAATTTTTATTTTTATAGCATCTATCGTCATAAAAATTCATTTAAAGAAACTACTTGTTTTTGTGGAGGTCTTATTATAAGCCAGAGACGGCAAGCTGATGGGACATATAAGGATATTGAGGAGAAGAGAACACCTTCAGAGTTTGCACGATTTGTGAAAGAGAATTACAATAAAGTAAATACACCAGAGAGAAATCACAAAGACTGCATGAAGGAATTATCTAAATTGTATTCTCAAAAGAAGCTCTCATTTTAATATGAAAATAATTTATAGGTGTATTGTAAATAGTATTTTGTAAGTCTGTGACTAATTCAATCAGCATTGAATTTTAATAATTATTTATTAATTTAATTTATTGTGTCTAAAGAATTTAATACAAACAATTGAATTTGACGGGTTTAATTTTTCTTCTCATAAATGATAAGTAAATGTTGGCTGCATTGTACTAACATAAGCGTAAATATTGATAAAAATGGCGGCGAGCGTTTACGGAATAATTATATCAAATAAACATGTGTAAATTTTTAAATACCATAATAAACACTTTAAAAATAACAATTATATTATACGCGATTTTTTTTGACATTTGATGCAAGTTTTAGAATGATAGATATAATTTATGAATATTAGTGACATCAGTGCGTGTATAGTGACTATTGTGTTTCATTTTTGTGTAATTTTATTTTAAGATAAATAAAATAATGTCGTTTTAAAAGTATAAATAAAACATTATAAACTGAATTGAGTTCAGTAATAGAGTTGTATAATGTGTCATATAGGTTATAATAATTTTAAGTTATTCTACATTTGGTAGTTTATTACAACATAACAGAATGGAATCACTTGACTCAGATTTTAATGCTATACCTTTTGAAAAAAAGCTGTCGGCATTAAAAGACACGCAAGAAAGCATACAGCAAATGTCAGCTTGGTGTCTTCAAAACAGACAACACCATAAGAAAATAGTAAATAGTTGGTTAAATGTTTTAAAAAGAGGTAAATCGTTCAGTTTATTGATGATGAAATTATTTACCAATGTGAAATAGAACTTATTTACAGAAAATATCTTTATCGAGTCTTTCTATATATACTGTAAATCAATAAAACTTATTAATATACTATAAACGGTACATGAGTAAAGTGTCATTACATTTTAACTTAGTTCAACTTTATTATGCTCTTTAAAGATATATTTCAAAAAAACGAATAAGTTATATTGCATATATAAATTATAGTAATAAGTTCAATTTGCAGTTCATATATTTTAATCATTTGGATCGATTTAAGAAAAGATACAAAATATTTATTTATATATTATAATTTATTATTCAATATTATTAATTATATGTAGGCATTTACAATATGTTTTTTTAATCACATATAATTGATAAATATTTTAGAGATTTATTTAGTATTTTGATATGCTCATTTACAATAAATCTGATTATGTCCTTTATCTTGCAGTAAAAGTAGAACACAGGTTAACATTATTCTATCTTGCAAATGATGTTATACAATATAGCAAAAGAAAAAATTATGAATTTGTCGACTCATGGGGAACTGCACTACAGAAGGCCACTACTATGGTTAGGTAAGTTTGATCGATTTTAGAATGAGTGCAAGTTTTATTTTGTATTGATTTTTAGAGATGAAAAAGTACGACATAGAATTCTTCGAATATTCAAAATTTGGGAGCAGAGGGGTGTGTATGGTGAAGATTTTATTGGTGATTTAAGTGGTTTATTAAGTGCAGCAGCCGGAAAGGCCAAAACTGATGATCCTGCTGAATTTCAGGTTGAAACATTAAATTTACTACTTGCAAATTATTATTCATACATATTTTTATATCAGATTTTAGTTATATACAATTGACTCTCAGTATTATTAATGTTGATTTTTAATAATCTTTTACAGCCTACATCACTTTTTTCTCGGCTTCGCCAATGTGCAACATTAGAGGCAGATACAGATTCAAAATTGAAAATATTAATAGATACTCCTTTGTCCGAATTGGATATACTTTGTAACTTGCTGAAAGGTGAATTACTTCACACATTTAATAATTTATATTCCCTAGTACATATTTGTGCAAGTAACATATATTATTTTTGAATAGATCGAAGTAAAGTAGCTGATGTGGAAAAGCAAATTGAAAATGATGCTTCAAATGCTGAAGCTTATATAAAGGCATTGCAATCTGAATTAAGAGCTCGTGGACATTTGATTGCATTACTTGAACAGGCTGAAAAGTTTTATATTGCACAACGAGGTGAAGTGAAAGTTGTGGCAAATGTAAGTACAATCATTTCAAGATTACAAATACCACAACAAAATGTTTTCTAATTTTATTTGCAAATATGGAATTCAAGTTTTTCTTCATCTTTAATGTATGATTTGCTTTTTAGGCTTATCGAAATTTTGGTACACGCGTTAAGAATCTCAAGCGTAAATTAGATGAGCTGACTCCAACATTAGTATCACCAATACCTTCTCCTGATATTAATGCTCCATCTCCGAGTCCTGATTCAGATCTTGATCTTCCTGGTGATACTTCAAACAATTCTTTTTCATTTTCGGTAATATAACTTTTTGGCATATCATAATAGAATGTTTATCCTTCATATTTATTACAATATCTTTTAGAGTGGGGGTGCTCCATATTCTTTAGACCAAAGTTATAATACATCTATTACAAATGGATTTACTAGTTTCATGGGTGGTTCAATGCCATTTGATCTCAATAGCTCTTCGATATTTGAGCATAATATTTCTAAGTCAAATGATACCTTAGATGATGGTGGTGAGTTTTTATATTTTAAGTTATTAAGTTGTGCCATAAAAAAGTGAAGTTGAACAAGCCACATTATCAACCAATGAAATTTGTGTTAAATAATTAGTAAATTTCAACCCAACTGGAGAAGAGAATTCTATGTATTTGTTTGTAGATGAAAATATTCTATGCTGTTGAAGTTTAACTACTTGTCCAAAAAATATTGATTGATTGCAATACTATATTTTGTAAAATTGCAATATTATATCTTGTAAAAACTCTTGTCCATAAATTTATAATATTTTAATATTAATATCTATAATTTTCTAATGCTTTAGGAAAACCAATTGAGGTTATTAATCCAAATGTGCGTCCTAAATCAGATGAAAATTTTAATATATCAGAATTTTTGAAATCACTTTTACCTGGACAAATATCAGAAGTAAATACAAATCAAATGAGCAATCCACCAATGATTTCTACAGCTCCAATAGAACCGGTTCCAATTATACCAGACTATAATCCACAAAGGGAGCTATTAGAATATAATATTCCATCTTCAAACATAGCTGTACAACGGGAACAACCACCATTGCTTGACTACAATAATGGAAGATTAGGAAGCGAGCTTATTCAAGATTTTAGTCCATCACAGCCATTGGGCCCTATGACAACTAATAGGAAATCTGAATCAGAATTGAATTTAAGCTATTCAGGTTTGTTATATATATACATACATACATTATATGGAATAAAAATGTATGGGAATAATATCTAAGAATCTATGAATCATATTCAATCAATAATTACCTTCTTGTTTATATTGGATATAGCAATTACATATATGTATTATGATTATGCATTTTTAGGACCTGTTGCACCACTTTTGCCACCACCCATGCCACCAATGATGATGGATAATTGTGATAATGCTGATTACTCTCATAACTATTCTAGAAATGAAAACAGTTGGCCAAGTTGGAACATTGAGGTATTAAAGAAATTAATTGACACATCATACAAAGAATCAGCATATTCTTATACAAATATTTTTATTAGTACAAACTATAATTGGATAGGTGATGCCATATATATTTTAGGTTTTTATTTTTATATATATTATATTAGCTAAGTATAACCAAAATATGTTTTTCAGACACCGGCCAATATTGAAACACCCGAATCTCCACCACATTATGAACAAGAATCGTGTGTCAGTCAACCTGTTATGGAGTATAATGATAATTTGCATGAGCAGATTGGTGCGGGAGTGGATGTTGATCAAAGAGTTATACCTCTTCCACCACCTCCACCCAGTATCATGCCAGAATTGGATTTGAGGCAAGGTAAATCATTGTTTTTTGAGAAAGAGTTTTCTTTGATTTTTGTTTAACTTTATTAACTTTGCTTTACATTAATATTACAGATATTGATCATAGACTTAAGGACATAGATCATAGAAATCTTATATCACTGACTGGTTCCCCTAGTCAAAAGCAAAATGATGATTCTTCAATAGTTTCACCTTTACAGCCTCCCAATTTGTCAGGATGGTCTGAACAACAGGTAAGCTATTTTAGAAACAATGTATTAATATGTTAAACATAAGTTGTACAACAATGAAAATTCATTACTACTATATATCAATTTTTAAAATAATTTTATACAGAATTTTGATCATGATGCTGATCAAGATTATCGCATACCACCATTGCCACCAAAATTGGATTCATTTATCGGTTCACCAGAGGGTTTCACCAGTACACCTAAAAAGGGTCTGCTGCCTAGACCTAGTCAAGGAAGTCATTTGCAACCTGTATCTGTACATAGCCCCCTGATACCTCACACACCCCACAGGTTGAATGGAGTTCGCTTTCCTCATCACCCTCCTCCGCCACCTCCTCCACCACCTATATCTAGTCCCTCTCATTTCAGATCCTTGAGAAGTCCTAATAAGAATAATTCAACACCTTTACAAGCAAAACCAAGTTTCAGCAAGCCTGAAGGTCCTAAAATAAAATTTCATAGTTCAATTAAACATGCATCTATAGAATCAAGAGTTTCCAATGTCAAAGAAATTATTCCAACACCACAAGATGAATTGGAAACTAAAAAAATTGATGAGGTGAAGGAAGATGATAATAATGATTCAAAACAAATTGAACCTGAGCCAAGCAATGAAGAAAAACCAGCAGACATTGTAGAAAGCATAGATATGGAAATGTCTGATGAGGAAGAGTCTGGACAGCAAAAGGAGCATTCACCTGAAAAAAATCCTCGGGGAAATCAAAGGTCCATGAATAGTGTACCACCTTTTCGTCCAGGTTTGTTGGCAATATAAAAATGAAACTGTATTTGAAGAAACTGTAAAGTAATTATCTTATCACCAGTTATAGTTATATATAAAAATTTAATATTTTTTATTGAAAAAGATTTAATATTTAATTGGCTATTTACTGTGGAATTTCAGTAGCACAATCCCTGTCTCATGTATATGTACATCAATTTTATTTCAGAATTCAATAGTCAACCACCATTTCATCGACCTCCAAGAGAGTTTGAGGATATGGGTAATTCAATGCCTATGAATCACCACATGCCACCACCACCAATGCATATGGGACATCCAGATGATTTTAGTGAAGAAGTTGACTTTAGGCAAGATGTTAATTTTGAAATGATGCCACCACCATACATGGATCATAACTTTGATAACAGAATGCCATTTCGTGGTGGTCACATAAGAGGGCCTCATTTTCCAAACTTTAGAGGTCGAGGTGGTGTGCATCCGATGAAAAATAGGCCTCCTTTTCCACATAATCCAAAACGAGGAAGATTTCGTGGAAATTTTAGAGGCCGATGGTGAATGATTCACATTTATTTATAATAAGTACATATGATGAATTTATACCATATTTATCATTATTTTATTATCAACAAATGAAAATTATATAATTTTCTGGAATTGTATATAGCTTAAAGAGATGTTTTGTATATCTATTGTTTTTTCTGTAATTCTCATTAGAATTTTATATTTACAGCAACATAAAAATAGAAGTAAAAGCATATTTTTGAGTTGTAAACTGTATGAGAAACTATAAAAGATTGTTTGCAAAACTTCAAGAAATTAAATAAACGACCTATTGTTTTATAGGGATATATATATATATATATATATATATATATATATATATATATATTTAATAAAGTATGGTTTTGTGAATGAAGAAAATAATATATATCAATAGATATGCGTGACTGAGTGTGAAATTGTGTATATAAATATATTTATATTTGCTTCATATGCAAATTTATATGAAGAAAATCTTAAATACTTATATCCTAAGTCATTTAAATATGCAGTAAATGAATGTTTAATTATGTATTAATAAAAGTGTTATATTTGGTTTTAACCTGAATTTATTTTAATATTGCAGCATATTTAGATCATGAGGGGATTCATTATTAATTTAGTAAATTGACTGATTAGTTATAGTAGCTGCATTTTAAATTTGATTTTATCCTAAGATGTTATTTTTTTATTTAAATAATTTTACTGAAGTTCTTGCAGAGCAATGCTTTTATATTGGATAAGTTGATATTCAATTCTATTTTACTTAAATTTTTATGTTGCCTGTATATTTTTTTTGTTATATTATCTTTGTTAAATGTTTTCCAAAGTTTTATAAAAAAATTAAAATGATTAAATTTTGAAGTTAATTGGGGAGTGAGTATTTAATTTCATAAAAAATAATATAAATTTTACAGATTTTTTCATTCTCAATTTTTAGCAAAAATAATCATATGATGCATTTATATATAAATATTTATTGTAACGGAGATGCTATGTATGGATATATATATATATATATATATATATATATATATATATATATATATATATATTATTGTCTTTCAAGTGGAAATTTTGCTTATTATTTTTCTTTTAGAAATTTGTTACTTAGTTTGTAAGTTTTTTTATAATAAAGTATACACAAGTATCAGTTGTTCTGGTGCTTGCTAAGGAAGTTTGTACTGGTTTAATTTAACAAACTATTGGTCTTACATATATTTAAACTGATACAAGCTGAAGAATATATTTTTAATTGTGATATATATATATATATATATATATATATATATATATATATAAATTTATCACATTTAAAAATAATATATGTGATTACTGTGTAATTATGAAAATTAAGTACAAATTATGTATATAATATAGAATTTTATACAATGTGTGTGATGTATTATAATATATTTATATTAAATGTTATCAAATGGCATGAAATGGATGCAAATTCATCAAATCAAATATACTGAAATAAATTTTACCAGGAGACTATATGTTTTTTATTATTATTGCTGACGAATGAATGAATGAATATTATAACTAATTATTTATATTAAATTTATGTATAAACTTGTTATCTTTTATTATTTATTTTTTTCTAGTTAATAATTAAAAGTTTTGCATTTTAAATAAACGTTCGCGTAAATCGAACGAACTTCATGTGATTGTTTTGACAAATGAGTTAATTCCACAACGAATTTTCTAACCTCAATGTTAACGTTTTTTATAGATTTAATGGTTTCAATGTTTTTAGCTAAATAAAAATTACTAAATAATTTATCTTGATTTATAATGGATTCTGCAAAGAATGAAAAGCAGTTACTTTTAGATAAATTAAGAAGTTCATCAGATGATGAGTTTGAACAGGACTTTGATAACATATTTGTTCAAATAACAATATCCTTTTAAATTATTTATTACTTAATTTTTTTATTTTACTATTACACATTGATTTGCATTTTTCATGTATTTATCTTAATATAACAATTATACGAGATAGACTCTAAGGATATAGATCAAATTTTCGATATTGTTGTGCAAAAATCTTTTGATGTTCTTCCAAAACAAAGTGTGGAGAACTGTTTCTTCAAGATTATATTTAAAAGAGTCAAAGACACAATTATTTCTGTAAGTATCATTTTATATTTGCTGATTGCGTTTATTTCTATTTATTTTAATTTGTTTTAGCTTTATAAAGATATTGAAAACAATATTACAGATGGGCAGTATAATTCCGATAAAATCATATGTATATTACTACATTGCACAAATTTAATCAAAGCTTTATTAAAGACACTTTCTAGTCTTGCTCAAAAGATATCAATTGACTATCATTGCATTTACATAGATAGTATATTTTTAGATACATCTTGTTTATTATGTTATACATACAAGCATTGCAAGTATAGGTAAATTTAACAATATTGATGCTTTATCAAATGTATAAGGCATATAAAATAATAAACAAAATATTTGTTTTAGTCAAAATATTTATGGAAATAAAATCAGTGCTGTATATGAGGTATTGGCAAAATTATTTTCTATTTCTCAACAATTGCAAACATGCTTCTTATCATTATTCAAGGATATTGAATATAATCTTAATATTAAAACCCACCTCGAAGGCTTTATTGAAGGTAAATTATTATAAAATTATATGGAAAAAAAATCATAATACTATCTACACTATCATAATACTCAGTAACATAATTTTTTGCAGTTCTTTTAGTTTTGATAGAATGTGGAAAATACCTTATAACCCTTGACATAAGATCAACAGCTTCTCAATGGAAAATTATAGCTGATTTCTTTGTAACATATAAACATGCAATAGAAAACTATATGAATCTAGAAAGTAAATTTCTCATTAACGAACCTATTTCTTTTTTAAGTAAACATATTGATAAATCACTAACGGATGTCTGTGAGGTCTGGGTTAATTTATTTCTATAAAAGTGAGTATTTAAAGAAATAAAATAAAGTATTTTTTTCAGGATACTGCACAAGATGCCTCACAAGTCAATCGAATTATAAAGCTTGATAATTTTTTTATGAAAATTATTCTTAAACTATTTGACTTGTATAAAGATTTTGTTATTGATTGCATACCTGATGTTGTCCAATTGTTGTATTCAGTTCATGGGTAAAAAATAGTTATACATTTTACAAAAACAAATATAATATATATATATATAAAAGTGCCTATTGCACTTTTACTGATAATAGTATTTCGCAAAATAAACTTATATATTTATTTATATATAGAATGCACAGTCCTGTATTAATATACAAAAGCGCTGCAACTGTTGATACATGTTCTCTTATACACTCGCACATTTACATCGCAGTTCAAATACTAGTTGGAAATTTAATAGATAATAAAGCTTTTGCTAATGCAATTTTATGCAAGGGTAAGCAATATAATCAATAGTTCAAATTATTATTTTTGATATTTTATTTCAATTAACAGATATTATATTTGATATTTTATTTCAATTAACAGAGTTGGAACAAAACAATTTTGCAAGTTTATTGTTATGCACTAATATACTGAAATATCTAATTGACAACACCAATAATGTTAGAGAACTGTGGATGGTTTCGAGTGAGCGTAATATAGTTAATTTAATTTTTGATGTTCTAAACAACACACAGTATGAAATGTCCGTGGATATTAAGTACACAGGAGTAGCTTTGGAAGGAAAAGCAGCCACAAAGGTACAATTTTATTTATTTAAATATTAGTAAAATACCATGGACATATAATAACTATGTGAAATTTCAGTGTGATTTGTATGAATTGTTATTTTCATACATGGGAGGTTATATATTAAGTGTTGATGACTATGAATTTACATACATTGAGAAAAAGATCTTGACTATTATAACAGAATTGAATCGTAGTAATGTTTGGTCTAAAATTATGGCATGTGATCTTATTTGTCTGATAGACAGGTAAATATTTAATATATATATATATATATATATATATATATATATATATATTAAAACATCTGAAATAACTTTTTTTTTTCAAAGAATTTTCTTTATTTAATTTTTTTTTTTAATTAAACATTTCGGAGATATGGGATGTCCCCTGCTTCACGAACTATTAATAACAAATAAAAACAATCCATATTTCCAAAAAATGGAATAAAATAATCGTTTTTTTTCTGAAATATACAAGATTTTCTGAAGATAAAAAGGAGGTTGTTAGTTCAGAAGTTCAAAAATCATCATTAACATCAGTTAATAAATTATAATGAAGTAATTTATTTCTCAGATATGGTACTGCAGATTTATGTTATCAGCATGTTGAGTTCTTCAGTGAAATAATAGTTGATACACCAACTTTATGTTTAATGTATGAAAATGAGTTTATATTCATCAAACAGACAATTGCTCGGTTATTCAATCTTTTGTCTATTAATGATAAAAAGAGATTTCTTGTAGAATATGATATTAAATTAAACAGCAGTATATTTTGTGCTATTGAATTAAAACATATTGAAGATTTTGAAACATCAGAATTCATCAAGCATTGTGAAATTTTAATGAGCAAGTTTATTGAGAAAAGTGATTCTGCAAACTTTTTACAAATGGTATTTATATTTTTTATATGGTTTGGATAATCTTTTATTTTGTCAAATACTCACTAAACCGTATTGAAATAAATTTCTAGTCTAACTCTCTAAGTCTTCTTACAACTGTGCAAGGGATAACCAAACAGGGTCACAAGTTTTTTACTGATAATTTAATCAGATTGTGGGAGTATTTCAAGGAAACAGATTACTTAATTTCTCGATTCTCATGGGAAGCTAACAAGAAGGCAGAAAAGAAAATCTTCACAAAATTTGTGTTGGTTTTGATACATTTGTCATCAATGATATTAGAGTTCATATCTAATGAGAAATTGTTATCCATATTGACCCATTTAGATGCACTAATTCATATAAATACATCTATAAAATTGCAAATATGTTCATTTTTGCATAAATTACATAAGAAGATAGAAAATGACAGTAACATGGCGTCATGCTTCCAGTTAATTGCAAGTTTGTTCTGTAAGTTAGTAAATGATGGCAATCCAATTGTCGAGCAAAAAGCTTTAGAAGCTATGATAAATTTTTCCCAACACACTGTTCATGAGGAACTTATTACTATAATTGTGAAAAAGGAGAAGAACTTTGAACACAAAGTTGTGTCATTTTTAAATAAGAAACCTTTTAAAAGTGATAATTGCATAACCTTAGAAGCATACCTAAAATCATTACATAATTTTATCAATAAGGATGAAGAAATTACTTTATCAGGCCAAACAGATGAATTCGAAATAGACACTGTTGATGATATGTTTGAAGATGATTTTGAGGACTTTGTTCCAGCTAAGATTCAAAAGCTTGAAAGTGATGTTGTAATACTTGATATCATAAATAATATTAAACAATCTGCTAATTCGTTAGTCGAAAAGAAATCTGATGGGTATTCAAATGAAGTTAAAACTGAATTGATAGGTGTAATTGAAAAACTGCAATCTTTAATTCACAACACATGAAAAGAAAAAAAAAAAACATACAAAGAAATTAATAGATGAATATAAAACTTAAGACTGATTTATTTAATGAACACTGTGAAATATTTTGATATTTAAATACCTGTATTTTGTATATTTAATTTTAATATAAATTTTATTAATTTGAAATTAAAAATTATATTATCATTCTATAATTTAAGAATTAAGAAGAATTTTAAAATTCTTTTTCATAAATATAAAACTTTTTATAGACAAATGGAATAAATGTCCATATTAAAAATAATATATTTATACTATAACTTAAATTTACTTACAATTATTATTGATTTAAAATTTAAACATGAAACAAAACCATAATTAAAGGGAATTATTTTGCAATGTAATTTTTTTTTATCTAATTACATAGACTTTTCTTATTATTATTTGCTTCCCGATAAGTTTGTTTTTTCCTAATAATAAAAATTAATTAATTTTATGTTTCTTCGATGTTTCAAGTCATTCTGACTCGTTTGACACCAAAATTGACAAAGTTATGTAGTGTGTGAGCCAAAATTTGGAAAGAATTATAATTCTTTCAGATCAGTGCAAGATTTTGAAGCCGATTTGGGAAATTGTTTGGATTAGTTTATATTAGAGATCCGCCGAGCTATTTCTTTCTAATGAATTGTTGATTTTTGAATGAACTACGTAGTTCCTCACGAATTGGGAACGATTTTGCATAGAGGCGGTGCAAGCAATCGCCTAAGGAACATAGGAATCTTAGTGGATTCCCATTGGATTCCTTTATGCACATTTATATATAATTATGGTACCGGTTTTGAAGGAATATCAATATATACATTTATATATTGCTTTATACGCTATTAGATAAATAATTATAGAAACGGTTTGGAAGGACTATCAATATATACATTTATATATCGCTTTATACGCTATTATAAATATTTATGGTCCTGGTTTTGAAGGAATATCAATATATACATTTATATATCGCTTTATACGCCATTTACAATTAAGGCTTCGGTTTTAAAAGAATATGAATATATATATTTATATATTGTTTTATACGCTATTAGATAAAAAATTATTGTAAAGGCTTTGAAGGAATATCAATATATACATTTATATATCGCTTTATACGCTATTATAAATATAATTATAGTAACGGTTTTGAAGGAATACCAATATATACATTTAATATTGCTTTATGCGCTATTAGATAAATAATTTTAGTAACGGTTTTGAAGGAATATTAATATATTGATAAATATATATATTTATATATCGCTTTATACAAGGTTTATGGAGTGAACAATGTTGCAAGCCAATGACAAGTGATTTAAAATATTATTTATAAAATTTTTAAAATTTCAATTCTTATTGCTTTTGCAACTTTCCTGAAGCACAATGCTACTTACACCTAGCCTTTCTTGAAATTAAAATACAAATTAAAAGTATTATGTTATGTTACTTAACTATCATAGTTTTTTCATAAAGTCTACGTGTATGTATTTGTAAATGTGCATATATTTTGTATGTATATATATGTATGCGTATTATATGAGTATATATGTATATGTATATATTTATGTAAGTAGATGTGTATGTATATATATAGATATAAATATACAAAAGTTATGAATTAGCCAACTATAATATATTACTGTATAAAACCGATTGGCGTGTAAATAAATAACTAAATAAATAAAGGTCTACAGAATTAAATCTGACAATTAATTAAAACGGTTCACAATAGTTATCTAGGGGTTAGAATAACCCTGCAGTTTATCTGAAGGACGTGTGCGCTCATGTAATGCGCCGCCATATTGAGTTTTCTCATTTCCCAGCGCCTAATGAATTCAGTTGTCGCGATGACAGGGACTCGGACGGGCTGTCATTTCACGAAAGATACGATATCTATTTACAATTTATTGAATTTCATAAATAAATACGATTGATTGCAGTGATTAATATTTGTTTCAACACTAAACCGACGACTATAATTGTTTCAATCAGTTTCAATTGTCATTTATAAAATGATTAAATTGGATAAATGTTTTTGTGCAAGGATTTTTGTGAAGTGATTTGTGGAATATGGTAACTGATTTTGTTTATTGCATATTTGTACTAACACAATATATTCAGTATTTAACATTATTTTTATTTATTGCTTTCGTATATAATATTATTAATCTAATGTCTTTCATTATTTCGACATGCTTACATTTTTATAAACAAATTTCAATTTTCATAAAATTCGAAATAACTTTATTTTGAATGAGTTAATATTATTCTTTGATGATAAAATGAATTAAATCAATTCACTTTTTCATTACCACATTGTTGATAAAGAAAATTAAAAGGATAATACTTTATATAATTATATTACTTGTATAAACAGTAATAATTATTACCCTTGACACATGTAGCAATGAGGAAAAACGATGACATGTACAAAAATGTTATAATTTTTTTTAAATTGTAACGAAGTTCATACATGTTTATATTTACAGATAAATAAGTAGGATATTCTGTATAGAAATTCAGTTAATGACAATTTATGTCAGTAACCATTTTATAATATATAAATTTTATTTTTTTATTTATTTAATATATCAATATTAAAAAAATATAGCCTATGATATTTAACATCATAACATCATCAAATTTGTTGATAATTAATAATTTAGTTTAAAAATTAGTTTTATTAAAAAAATGCAACTATATTTTACTTCATTAAGTTTCAATCAATTCGATTTACATCTAAATATTATAAACTTACTATTTCCATCACAATAAAAAATAGTAAATAAAAAAGTAAATAGAGTTAGAACAAAGCAAGATATAAATAAATATAAATAGTTATGACAATTCTGCTGATGAATATTTCTGACAAAATACCAGATCAGTGTTATATACAGTGTTAATCTGTAAAAAATGTCCCCATGAAATTCATATTTTGCACTAGTTGAACTTTGTAGCTATTATTTTGCAAAATTCCTCTAAATTTAAAAACAAGACATTGGAACTGTTTGCTCCCTGGCTGTCTCATTTTACTTCGCATATGGGGTAAAAAGAACCAGGTGACAATTTTTATGAAAAACAAAAAAAACATATTTTACAATGATGAATTAGCTGGGAGTTTTACTGAACATAGTCAGATAATTGGTTGTTTGATATGTGTTATTTGTTGCGATTTTTGGTTTGGTTTTCACAATATAATTGTTCGAAGTCAAAATCGACCTTTGTTTCCGGCCCTACCCTATTACAACTTTGCTGATAAATGTTACCCACGAATACCAGATCAAGGTTATATACAAGGTGTTATTTCTGTAAAAAATGTACCCATGAAATTTATTTTTTGCATTGGTTGTATAATGTAGTTATTAATTCGTAAAATCTCTTCAAAGTTGAAAATAAGTCTTTGGACCTGTTTACCCCTAACTTTAAAATCCTTCTGATCATTTAGCTTTGGGAAATTGTTGATCTTGACCAAATAAGCTTACATTTTTTTTATTTGTATTCTGGCAAATTTTCGAATAACTTCGATCCTTTTTCTAATTCAATCATTCTATTCTAATCATATTATGCTACGATATAATGTTGTTTGAAATTATCCGCGATTTTCAAGTGCTCGATAATCTGTTTACATATGCTTGACCAAACCGTTCATTTAAATAATGAACTTGAACGCTACCATCAGTTTATGAGCATTTGTATTGTATTGCAGACAATCGTTGACTTGAAAACAAACAGGAAATTAGATCAAATTCCGGTTTGCTTCAGTAATTCCAGCAAATTCATTTAAATAAATGCTGGTGTCTTTCGAACGGTATCTAAATTTTCAAAATTGGTGAAAATGCGGAAAAAAAATTGTGCGCTCTTCTGCTAATTCTAACGAAACAATTGCGCAAGTATTTATTTGTTACATTCTTTAACATCTTGAAAAAAATTCATCTAAAAAAATTTGAAACCGTAAACGGTGATGAACAAGTAATTATTTAACTTTCAGTAGGGTAACTTAGTTGTTTATAGTAATCGTCCAAAAATCGAAAATGAATTTTTTTGCACATCTTTACGTTTCAAAGGTTTCTGAACATTCTGGCATACCTGAAAAAAATGTATGTATGTATGTGTGTATGTATGGATACGATTTTTCATCGACGTTTTTGGGAGCACCGATTAACAGATTTAAATTATCTAAAAAACATTAAATTCCTATCGCAATCGAAATGTTTAGTTTTTGGCAAGGACAGGCTCAGCCGTTTCGGAGACACGGAGCAAAGAGTGCAAAAGATAGAAATTAGATTTCTGAGAGATGAGAGTATCCGATTTGAATGAATAAAAAAACATTCAATTTGTAATGATGGAGAGACATTTTTATTAGTTTTTTGCAAAAATTGGCCGGGCCGTTTAGGAAATACTGAGCTAAAAATGCATAAAATGGAATTTTTTGAGAGGACGAAGCCTCCGATTTAAATGATTCAAAAAACATTCAATTTGTAATGATGGTGAGACTTGATGATTAGTTTTTGGCAAAGATAGGACGAGCCGTTTCGGAGATACGGGGCTAAAAGTGCAAAAAAATGGAAGTTTTTGAGAGAACGAGGCATCCGATTTGAATGATTCAAAAAACATTTTGCTTATGTTGACAGTGTGAAGAAAGGATTAGTTTTTGGGAAAATTGTATTTTAAATTATCAAAAAAAACTTTTTTTAATCCAAATAATATTTTTGTTTAAATATGTTGGATGAATGATTTGGATATAAATTATGATACTAGCTAAAATTCTGTAGCTCACTTACATTCTTTTGTTATATATTTTTTTTTATTCTTTAATAAATAATTTTAACTTTGCAATTCAGTTTGTTAAAATATCATAAAATAACCTAAAATCGGTTAAATAAAATAATTATATTGTAAAAGTATTGTAAAGCTTATTAAAATACTTATTAAATTTTTAAAAGTACTTGCAACAAACAAACTAGTTATATTTAAAAATAATTATAATTAACTAAATATAAATAAGTTTATAGTAAATAAATCAAATAATAAATAAATAA